TAGCCTCCTCCTGCAGACGCAGGGCAGCATGGCACAGAGGCAAGCTAGCCACCACATCCTCGGGGATCCGGAGGGCACTCTGGCAGAGTTGTACAGCTTGCACCTTTGGCTTGAGGGACTCCATCTCAGATAGCAAATGCTGAAAGTACAATTTCATAGTTGAACGTTAAATCTTGTCATCATTTATTTTATGAGCAAAAGACATCTGCTAAATTACAGCTATTTATAAGCTGTAAATGTTTGGTGAGGAATATTTTTTAAATAATGCATATGGTGCTAATACTCTAACAGCTTAGGAAGTATTTTTTCTTCTTACTGTTGGTTTTGAACAGAGGTCCCCATCCATTTATTCTGTTATGTTTGCTTACTTGTCGGTGAGCAAGTTGCTCCTTCAGACTGAGACGTCCAACTTCTGGAGAAGTCAGGGTTGTCTGGGCTTGCTCCAAAGCAGCTTGTAAGTTTTTTAGCTCTGCCTCAAATTTTTTCATATCCTGGAGAGCAAAAGCCACTTGAATATCGATATAAGGAAGATTTAAATCGAAACCACAGTGAGATACCACCTCACCCCAGTCAGAATGGCTAAGATTAAAAAAATAAAGAATGATAAGGGCTGGCGAGGTTGTGAAGAAAACTTTCCCATAGTGGGTGGGAAAGTAAATTAGTACAGCCATGGTGGAAAACAATGTGGAGATTCCTCAAAGACCTACAAATAGAACTACCATATGATCCAGCAATTACACTCCTGGGTATCTACCCAAAAGATAAGAATGCACTCAGTCATAAAAACACATGTACATCTATGTTTATTGCAGCATTATTCACAATTGCAAAGACATGGAACCAACCCAAATGTCCATGAACAGACGAATGGATTGAAAAGGTGTGGCACATATACACTACGGATTTCTACCCAGTCATAAAAAACAAGCTTAGCATCTGATAGAAAGTGAACAAATATGGAAGATTTACTCTTAAGTGAAGTAAGCCAGACAATGAAAGAGAGTTGTATGTCCCCACTTAATATATAACGAATATCTGCACTCTATGGCAGAAACTGAAATACTGGATAATATAAAGGCATGGAGAGCAATTGTGGACACCAGAGACAGTGTGAGAGGAGAGTGGGAAATGGCAGAGGGTGAAACAAAGAGAACCAGGGGAAAAAAAGAAATAAAACAGTTATGAAACACAAAATGGAAAATTACCTGTTGAATAAAATAGATATGGCAGTATCTTTGACTGGGCTAATATTCAGTGTATTCTGGTGGAAAAATTCATTTTGTATGCTGTAATAATATCCAGTGAGTGAAGTGTAATGTAAAATAAGAAAAAGCTCATGAAAAAAGATATTAAATTTAAGTCCAAAGTCATAGGTGAAGAATAACATTACAGTCAAGAAAGCATGTCACAGATGAACATTTTATTTCCATAGTGGCATAGTCACTGTTACTACTATTTTTTTTTTGAGAAATTTTTGCTATAGGGCATGTGTACTCACTGGACAGTCAGAGACAGATGAAAAGTGACAAATCACCCCCCACTCCGGAGATTTGGCCATGCCACAATGCCTTCCCCTCCATTCTCCTCGGGAGGGGGGGGCGGTTGGGCACCCATACACATGCACTCAACATGAGTTTCAAGCCACCAGCTCTAGGACTTGAACTATGATTGGCCATGGAGGAGTCCAGTGCCTTAACCACAAAAGTCATGATGCCTTTTTGCATAGATAAAGTACATTATGATTTTTCCAACTGAAGTAAGCGTGACTCCATCTTGGAGGACTGCCTCCAAGAGAAATGGAGAATGAAGCAGAAGTGGCTCCATCTTGGAGAAGTGCCTCCATTATGAACTCTTATATCTCTTTCCCCATGGTTAAAAAGTTACTTTCTCTTACTAAGGTAGATGCCTTAAGATAAGGTCTAGTCACCGGACCTTGCCTTGAGACATGAAGACCATTATGATTCCATTGTGTTTAGGTAGGAATGGAACATATCCTTAGGGACAATTAACCTGCCTTTTCTGCTTCTGTGATGTGCTTTTGCTTGCCTTGCTTTTATGGTTGTAAAACCCTACCCCTTACTCTTTTAAACCCACTGCTCATTGTTTTGTGATTGCCACATCAACCTGGAAGAGAGTGTGATTTTTACCTTTTTAAGCACACTTCATCTTTCACTTGGGCTGTGGGGTTTTGAGAGACATGAGTCCCCCCAAATGCTTCTGGCTTAATCAATAAACTCTAATAAATTTGGCTATGTCTGGATGTCCTCTTATTTCTTGCTGAGTAGACAGTAACACCAACAACCCTGTGTGTGTGTGTGTGTGTGTGTGTGTGTGTGTGTGTTGTTTTGTTTTATTAGATTTTTGCCATAGGGAAAGTGTGTACGCTGGAGAGAAACAGGGAGAGAGGGAAAGTGAGAAATCACCCCCATGGGGTTTAGCACCACAAAAATCTCTTATCCTCCATTTTCCTCTTGGGATTTTGGGTATACACACAGGCCTGGTATGTTTTTCAAGCTGGCAGGTTTAAGACTCAGACCATGGAGTTGTCCATGTGGGACCCATGCCTTAACCACCACATCATCTGTTGGCCCCTATTTATTTATTTATTTATTTATTTATTTATTTATGAATTTTTACCTTAGCTGCATCTTGGAGGCTCTGCAAACGCATCTTCATCACCTGCTGCAACTCCTCAGTCTCGCGTCCCAGGTCTGCCACTTGCTGAGACATTTTCTCTGTATAGTACACGCTAGCAAGGCATTGTAATTTCTCCATCATGGCTTCCAGATCACTGTGAATTTCTTCAGATTCTTCTAGCAGGGTCTATTGTGAATGATCAATATTCGTGACATTGGCAGGTAGACAGAGAGGTATCAGTATCAGTATGGTGTGGTGGAACAACCACTAGACAGGGGAGGGAGTAGAAAGAACACCTCTCATGCACACTGTTGCAGGGGCTGTGTGTGGCGTATTGTGTTTAACCCTGACACCTCTGAGCCGGCACTCCACTTAGTAGTCACTTACTACCATTCCAGTTGTGCAATAAAAGAAAACATAGTCCAGTGACTGCAAACAACTTGCCATGGCCATGTGTGACTGAGAGTAGGATTGTCAGGTCAGTGTTCTGTCAACCCCAAGCTCCTCCTCCTGAGAGTCAGGACAGGGGTATTCCCACAGTGCCGAGGCTTGAACAAACTGGGTAGTTGATCATATTTCACCCTATATTTTCCCATATTGAAACTAAAAAAGTACTTTTCAGTCTCATATTCTGTATGTAGGATCTAAGTGCATATTGGTCTAAGAGATGAAACCAAGGCAAGAGCATCATAAGCACCTTTGACCAGTTGCTTTAAGTTAGACAAAGGGGTAGAAGCTACTTGCACTTCCTACAGAAGAAAAGCACAACCCTTGACATTGAGGAGGTCTCCTCAGTTAGGGCTGACAATACTACAAACAGATAAACCACCACGGAATGTGCAGTATATGAAAGGGAGAGAAAGAGAGAGAGAAGGCAAGGGTTACAGGACGATGCAGGTGAGATGTTCTGTGACTTGTTAGGAAGGTAGAAGGAACCCGGGAAGAGTCATGACTGGGTTCAGTCAGAAGGATGTTCATGACTTGAAAAGTGGGGAGGAACTGGAAAAACATTTCATGCTGAGGTAACAGCACAAACAATGCCATAGAACTGGGTGAGCAGAATATACAGTTAATGGTTTATGGTGCATGTGAAGAGGAGAACTGGGAGTAGGATATTCTTCTTGGGCAATAGACTCTTTTTAAGAATGAAGCACACACTTTGTCTCACTATAAATGCAGTACATATATATTCTGGAAAAGACATACCTTGGAAAATACTGAAAGTATAAAGAACATAAAATATCCCATAATCCCATAATGTAGGCAAAATTTTAAATAAGATGTAACTGCTCCCACGAATCTTTTTATTTCAATCTTTATTGTACTATGGAGAACAATTTAGAGATTCCTCAAAGATCTACAAATAGAACTACCATATGATCCAGCAATCCCACTCCTTGGTATCTACCCAAGGGACAGAAGAATTCTTAATTGGAAAAGTGCTTGCACATCGGTATTTATTGTGACATTATTCATAATTGCTAAGACATGGAACCAACCAAAATACCCATGAACAGATGAATGGATTGAAAAAATGTGGCACATATACTCTATGGAATACTACTCAGCCATTAAAAAAAAATAAGATCCTGGCTTTTAAGAATAAGTGGATGAAGGGAACCAGCAGTTAGTGTAATGGCTATGTCACTGGACTCCCACGTAGTCGACCGAGGTTCGTGTCCCGGACCCGGTGGCTTAAAACTCACGCCGGGCGCGTGTGCGTGCGTGCCCAAGATCCCGAGAGGAGAATGGAGGAGAAGGGATTGCGGCGTGACCATCCCCCCTGGGGGGTGATTTCTCGCTTTCTGTCTCTATGTCTCTCTCTGTCTGTCTGGCGAGCGCACGCGCCCTACAGTGAAAATCTCTCAAAAAAAAAAAAAAAAGAATAAGTGGATGAATATGGAAGATTTACTGCTGAGTGAAGGAAGCCAAGTTATAAAGGAGAGACATTGTATGTCTCCACTTAATATATACTGAATGTCCACACTCTGTGGTGGAAACTGAATGACTAAAGGATATAGAAACATAGTAAATGGTTATAAATACCAGATACAGTGTGGGAAGAGGGTGGGTGAAGGAGTAGAGTTTGGGGAAGGACATTAAGGAGAAAAATAGAGAGGCAATCATTTATGGGACAAAGAAATGGGTTATTATCTATTGAAGACAATTTTATAGTATTGTTAGCTGGACTGGTGAGAAAAGCACACGTTGGAATATTCTATTTGCAAGCTAAGTAACATGTGATTGAATGCATAAAAGAAGTTGGAATTAAAAAATTAAAAAAAAATAATAATGATAACCAGAAAAAAATTATAAAAAGCTATTTGATTATGAGGATGTGGATAGTAATGTCTTTGTCTTGACTGATATAAATGGTATTCATGCTGGAAAAAGAAAGGGAATACACTGAAAAGATACATGTGATTCAATGTAATATAAACAAGACTATGATAATAATAAATTAAATTAAAAAAAAGATAGAACTGCTGTTGTGTGAGGGCATATTTTTAAGGCAACTGAGATCATAGCATTCCTACAATATTCCATCTTCCTTTCTCACTGTCATCAGAGCCCAGAGATTGTCTCATAGCACACTCTTTTTGGGTATAGAGCAGCTTTAATTCCTAAGGGAAGCACATGAAATCTCCTTGAATATTGTCTACAATCTGAGCTCTCCCCAAGTATCTGTGTCAGACAACCCCAGTGTCTGGTGTCTCTTTTCTTGTGCACCTTAATGCGGCCAACTCACCCAGTTCCCTTGTTACAAAAATCTGGAAATTGTCTTTCACTTTCCTGCCTTATACCCACATACAAAAGCTCCAAGTCAGAAAATTCTAACTCTTTATTATCTCTTGATATTGTCTTCTCTCAATTTCCTAAGAGATCTTTCCATTTTTCTACAGGAATTTTGAAATCTCTTACACTGTCTTACCTTCATCAGTCTATTTTCCACTGACTGCTAAATTAACTTTCTTAAAGTAACAAGTCCTGGGGCCAGCAGAGGGCAAAGGGGTTAAGGCACTGAACTCCCTTATGGCTGTCTGCTGTTCCAGTCATGGACCTGACAGCTTGAAACATGCTGGGTGTGTGTGTGTATGCATGCCCCAAATCCCAGGAGAATGGCGGAGCATGGAGAGAAAGAATTATGGTATGACCAGCACCCCCTAGGGAGTGATTTCTCAATTTAACTGTCACTGTCACTCTCTCTCTCTCTGCTGAGTGCACACTCCCTATGGAAAAAATAAAAATAAAAAATACATAAATAACAAATCTGAACTTGCTATTTACAGGCAGTGTAGTTGTTAAAAAGCTTCTGAGTAACTAGGATAAAGTTTAAGGTCTCAAAAGGCTTTCATGATCTTTTTCTTTTCTTTTCTTTTCTTTTCTTTTCTTTTCTTTTCTTTTCTTTTCTTTTCTTTTCTTTCCTTTCCTTTCCTTTCCTTTCCTTTCCTTTCTTTTCCTTTTCTTTTCTTTTTTTTCCTCCTCTTTCCAGCTCTTCAGAGCATCAAACAGAGTACACCTCAGTCTTATTGCTAGAATTTTGACACACGTTTTGTCTAAAACAGATTCTGAGACACAGGGGCTGCAGTGTTTTTCTGGGCTGAGCCTCATATCAGCCTTCCTCAACCTTCCTGTTAAACACCGGGCACTCAGGTTAGCACCTTCCTGAGGACTCCTTCAGCTCCGAGCCCTTCATCTCCACACTTATCTCACCATATTTTAACTGATGCCTTTCTCTAATTGTCTTTTCTCCTTCCTCTAAATATCAACTCCCTGGAGTGGGGCAGGAAATGTTTATATTCCAAATGCCTACCAAAATTGTAGTTTGGAAAAGTATTCTACAAAAGATTGCTGAATAAATAAATGAATGCCTAAGTCTGGGAGCTATTGAGAACACTATATTTATGATCACCTAAATGACTACGTTGTATTCGATTAACTACCAATACTGAGTTAGAAAAACTGACATTTAAAATATAATTATTGTTATTCACACTGTATAAAATATTTTTCACATTTTGTTTTAACCTTAGTAATGAGTCCACAGCAGGGCTGAGCGGTAACAGTCATGAACAGGTCTAGTTCTAACGGTTTTGACAATCGCCATACATTTTGCCAATTGTTTTTCAAAAATATTTTAACAGATTTTCAACAGTGTTTGTAAGTTCAAATTTCCTTAAACATGAACTGCTAAAACGAATGTTAACTTGATAGTTAAAATTCTGTCTCTCTCTCTCTCTCTCTCTCATGCATGTAAATTTGCATTTCTAGATTTCTAATAAGGTTGGGTATTTTTTAATGTTTACAAGTCAATTGGACTTAAGTCTTGTCTATTAATACCTAAGCATATCTTAAAGCAATTTGCTCTAAGATTGGAATTAAGAAAGGTATCTTGGGAGAAGAGTAAGCGATTGATTAGAGAAGGGAGATTGTGGATACAGGGAGATAAATTGGTGGCTAGGAAGGCGTTCCAGAGAGAGAGAAACAAGCTTTTGCTCTAGAACTCTGTCAACTGAAATGGAAAAGGAAAATAACTTAAAAGGTACAAGTATCCATATAGCTCTTAAAAGAGAGAAAACCTAGAATACTTGAGGATGTCCATGTACCTTAAATAAAAATCATTCTATATTTTATTGTAAGATTACTAACTTACTAGATGCTTGTATCTAACTCAAGCCTAAATTATAAAGGATGAAATAATTTCCTGGATGACATCTGAGACAAAAGGAACATTTTTGTCATGTAACTTTAGAGGAAATGAAGTAATGCAGCCACCATGTGATGAGGACACGGGGTATGCTCTCAGCTGGCCTCTCCCTGCTGTGGAAGGCCAGAAGATGGAGGCTTGGGGCTTAGAGAAAGGAGGCCTGAGAACTCCTGCCTGCACTGTGCAGTATGCTAGATGTTTGCACATGCACTAAACCATGTGATCCTCGGCATAAGTCTGAAATATGAACATTTTTACATCTGCGTCTTAGAGAGGAAGGATAAAATCCAGAGAAGCCGTGCATTTTTGCTCTGACTCAAAGAGCCCTAAATGGCAGAGCTTGGTTTTCTCATCAGTCTGAACTTGAAGCCCATAATCTTTCCACACTTCACTCCATCATTCTTCATGGGGAAGAAGTTCCCACCACATCCCTGCATCTAACCATTTCAAAGAGGCTGAGCAGAACAGAACAAACAAACACAAGGCCTGTATAGCTGATTGGTTTTGGTCTTGAAGAAAGGGGGAGGTCTAGGGAAGACAGAAATTTTACAGTTGCACGAAAATCTCATGGGTAGTTACTTCTCTGACGAAACACGAGACACCTCATTAGGGCTATCTTTACATCCTCTTACTTTGGTGACTATGATAATTTTACCTTGTAGCCCTCTAAATTTTGTGTTAGTCTGGCCAGTTAAATAAAACTCTCCTTTGTTACTCTCTGAAAACTATTTTTACCTGATGTGAAATGTATTGTTCCCGAAGTTGGCTGGCAGAATTCCAAGCAATATTTCCATGGACCAAGGTTTTAGCCTTCTCAATCCACTTCAAAATTAATTCCAGCATTTCATTATATTCTTCTAAATGTGATGCCGCCTGAAAAGTCATTAGCATTCAGATAACAAATATAAACTTAGGTTCTTGAGCTAGAAATCAGTCTTCTCTCGGTCTCCTAGGATACAGCAAGCCTAGGAAGTTGATCATCATAATAGCTGTGACATTTAAGGTATCATTATAAATCGTTTCCCTGTTGAAAATCTGCCAAATGTTTTCCTGTGACTTTCACATCAAGTCCTTAATATGCTTGAATGATTTCTCTTTTTCTTATCCTACATTATCATCTCTTCTTCCTCTGTCTAGCTTCCCTTCATCCCTTTTCCACTCTTCATTGGGCAAAGAGGTGGTAGGCAGAAATTGCAGCATGACTAGTTTAAATACCATAGTTATTTTGGTTCCAACTCCCAGTTTTAAATTTCCCTGATTGAATATACAAACAATACTTAATTGTAAAAGCTCAGTCAATATTCAACAAGTATAATGGTTATGTGACCTAAGCCTATTAAGTAAATATGAGCTCATGCATCCATACAGCTTATTTTAAATACTCAAAAGTTGCCCCAGACTCACTTTATAAAACATTAATAACTAAGAATTCATTTCATAAAATACTTCTCCAGTGTACAAAATACTCACCCAAAGTCCACTCATCTGATCACCTTTGTTAACAAATTTATAGTATAGCTTGATATAATATAAATACAGGTTTAGAGATAAATTTTAGGAACACAGATATGGCATAAAATAAGCTATACTTAACCTACTCACATCATCGTCAGTATTACCTTTTATTTATCTTTGAAAGAGAAATGCAGAACAACAAAGTATCTGCCTTAGAGGATTTTGATGACTGTCCTGAAAAACATACCTGACTGAGCTTGGATTGCCGGATCTCTGCCTGTCTAATGGTCTGCTGGTGAAGTTCAGTCAGTTTTCCTATCTTCTTGGCCAGTGGCTTCCCCAGTTGGCCATTCTGCTCTGAGAAGTTCTGTATTGCTGCATCTAATTCCATTAACTTTGAATTACAGCCATCCAATTCCTCTCCCAGCACCTAGACAGTCATCAAAATGAAAGGATGTTAGACTATGGAAAATCAGTTTCTCCAGGTTTTCCAAGATCAGAAGGATTCTACTTTAAATGATATTTGTCAAAGCCAAATATTATAATGAATATTTCTACTATGATCGGGACCTTTCTGTTTCTTTGGCTGGAAGGGCAAAGCAGGATATGCTGTAATCCTGGTGTTTACTTCCTGCGAGTCTCAGTGAGAAGGCTAACGTTTTCCTTCTGCCCCACCCAGAAAAGGATTAGAGCCTCTTAACTCACCAACAGAGTGAGATATAACAACTAGGGACATAATTAACTTTGGAATGTTCATGCTTGTATTCCTACATCCTCACTTACGCTGTGTCACGTTCCTCTCTGCACATGCATTTATTCTTATTAATACTGTCCAATTAGAATGACAAATTATGTAAGAGAATCTGGGCTCTTTTATTTTTTAAAATGGCTTTCTTTTAAAAAGTCTTTATTCAGTTTTTTCAGAAAACACTGACAAAATAAATTTCAGTTGCAATTTCATATGCACCCAAAATAAAAGTGCTATTTATAACACTGGCTTGCAAAGTAATGAAAAACTACAATTTTGGAAAAGATGGTAAACAGTGTGGACACCAAAAAAGGTCTCTGCTGTCTGTTTTTACTAACTGGTAAAAGCAAAATAACAATGGCTGCTAATAATTTCAGTTTCTATATCCACAGATGAAACTGACTCCCCAGATCACTTTCTTCATTCGTGGCACCCCCTTACATTTGCCCTTCTCCTACCTTACCTTTTGTTCAGCTTTGGCTTCGACTAAGTTATCCGTCTTTGCTTTCAGCCTTGTTAGGATCGTTGTGAGGTCTTTGGCTACCTTCTGAATTTGTCGGCTGAATTCCTGGCTCGTGGCCTTGCTCTGCTCCAGTTCTTTTACTTTGTCTTGAATCTAAATAACCAATGAGAACAGTAGAACCCGCCATGGTTGAAATTAGAGAACAGACACTAAGTCTCTCAAATGATGTTGGTGAGAAACAGTTCTGTGGCCAACGCTCCCCTACCACTGGTGCGCTTGGTCAAAGCAGTTAGTTGCAAGCACACCTCCAGGCTGGCTGGCTGTCCACCACCTTCACATACTCTCTGCTGTCCCCGCAGCAGCACAAGCAATGCGTGGACAGCGATTCCTTATTAACTGCTACAGAATCGTTGTTAGAGATGGCCAGGTACACACTGTTTGCATCACATCTTCTCTATTCACTAACTTTGTGACCTTGAGCATAAACTCTAAACCTTTTTCTTACGAAAACGGGCAATTCTCCCAAAGAGATAAAGGCACATAGATTTGTCTCCAAACAGCTTTTCATAGTTGGCTGTTAATAATCTGTTCACTCTATTTTTAACTTTTCAGTTGCATCCCTATACTATGCCAATAAAGTATTAAGCATACCCAGTGGGAAGGAAAGTGAAAAAAAATGTGTTAATATTTATAAATTCCTGTGACTTTGGTTTTATTTGATAGCAAACATTTACACTTTTGCCTAGAATTAAATGCTGAAGAGAAGGTGGTAAAGAGAAGAAATTGTTTCTTTATATAATTGAAAGGCCAGGCTGCCCTGCAACCTAGTGGTTAAAGGGAGTCGGATCCCACATGACTGACTGTGGTGTGTATCCCAGCTCCGGCAGCTTGAGAAACATGTCAGGGGCATGTGTGTATCCCAGCCCCGGCAGCTTGAGAAACATGTCAGGGGCATGTGTGCATGTGCTCCAAATCCTGACAGGATAGAGAAAGGGAGAAGGGATTGTAAGTGACCACATAACATTGGGGTGGAGGATTCCCCTCTCTCCCTCTCTCTCTCTCTTTCTGGTGAGTGCACACATCATTTGGCAATTAAAAATATAAGTGAAAGGCCAGCCTTCAACATTTTGAGTCAAATGCCAAAGTAAAAGGAATACATGTGGATAGCTCTATTATGAGGAAATTTATGAAGAGAAAAAGAAAACCTCTATTAGAATTAAAAAAAAAAAAAGATATGAACTTCCCAAATCACCCTTCTCAATAAACTCTCCAGGGTCTAAGAAGAGAAGCCAAATAGGCCAGTTAAATATTTGAAATAGAAAATAGTATATATTAGTCCAGGTTGACATGATGCAGTACAATTGGATTTCAGTGATATTTTTAAAACTTTGTATCACATTGGAGATGCCTCATAAAGATTTTATAGTTCATATTGACATAATGCAATACTATTTCTCCATTTTATGTAGTTAGAATTAGTAGTATATTACTAGTTTCAGCAAGTGGTGTAGTGGTTAAGGTGCTGGGCTCCCAGAAGGCAGACTTTGGTTCAAGTCTTGGATCCAGCGGCTTAAGACTCATGCCAGGCACATGTATGAGTGTCCAGAATCCCAGGATGAGAGTGGAGAAGGGACTGAAGTGTGGCCATTCCCACTGGGCAGGGGAGGTGATTTCTCACATTCCCTGTCGTTGTTTCTCTCTGTCTCTCTCCAGCAAGCACAGCTGCCCTATGGCAAAAACCTTAATAAAAGAAAAAAAGAAGAAGAAGAATTAGTAGTGTATCTTCTACTTGTCTGACATAGAATGATTCTGGTGGCTTTAGCATTAAGCAAATAGTTCTAAAAGCCCTCTGTATTTCCATACATTTGTTTCTTGAGGCTGTTTATACCACATAAAAGTGTGTCCTCTTTATGTAGTTAAACAAAATTTTCAAGACTAGAAAAGACTATGTATTTCATCTTAAAAAAAAAAAGAAATTTATACACATGAGATTATGTTATTTTTCGCTCCATTTCTGGTTTACCTTATTTTTATTACTTTGATCGTCCCTCTCCTAAAATATCTTTATCTACTTAATTTAGATCTTGTGAATTGCTGAACTGAAATACTAGTTAGAACAATGCTTGGCAGATTTGGGGTATTCAATAAATGCATTGTTGAACATAGGAAATAAATATTATGTTTTTATTACTTTAAGTCATTTTTTTAAGGTGACAGAAAATACATATATTATTTTTATTGTTGGTATTATTGTTCACATCTATGGTCATCTGATGCATTTCAAAAACCACTAATTTATATGACTGGTTTTTTGTTTTTGTTTTTAGTTGCCAGTGTGCACATGCATTTGAAAGAGAAAGAAAGAGAGAGAGAGAGAGTAAGAGAGAGAGGGAGAGAGAGAAAGCACCCCCTAATGAAGTGTGGTCATGCTACAATCCGCATTTCTCCATTCTGTCAAGATTTGGCTCACACAAACACATCTCTGGAGTGTTTTTCAAGCCACCAGGGCTGGAATTTGAACCATGGTTTCTAGGCACAGCACATAACTGCTACACTGTGAGACCAAATGTGATCTATTTTTTTTTTACAATTGTTTTTGAGAGGAAATCATTGTGTCTCATACAGGAATACTGAGTCCATAAAGAACAGAAAGACATTTTAATTGTAACTTTACCTGATCACGTATCTTTAGGTCTAAGGCCACTTCAGCTAACTGAAGGGAGAGTTCAGAGGGTAATATGGTCTGAAGACCTAGGTACTTCTTCTTCTGTTCTTCAGCCATTTTCTCAATGTTCTGTCGGTGATTTGTGGCTTCTGTTAGGAGAATCTGAAGAGAAGGTCAAAATAAAAAATTTCTGAGAACTCAATAAGGAAATTAATTTTTATGGGTATAGAGACAAGGCTGTATATTATTGATCAATATATGATTAAATGTGGAATTAGAGAAATACTGTAAAATAAAACCAAACTTTACTTCAGTCTTTGAATGTAAGTCATGTCCACCTTCTATAAAACTAAAAAAAAACTCATAAAATAATATTAAATATCATGTATGTAATACATGTTTGAAACATTTTAAATCAATATTTCATTAAATATAAATGAGTGTGTCTAATTAAAATCTCAGCATTTAAAAAAAATGATTGGTATAGGGATCAGCAGATGGCATGATAGTTACATCACTGGACTTCCCACATAGTCAACCTCAGTTTGAGTCCCAGACCCAGCAGCTTAAAACTCATGCCAAGTGGATGTGCATCCATGCCCAAGATCCTGAGAGAAGAATGGAGGAGAAGGGATTGTGGCATGGCCATCCTCCCAGGAGGTGATTTCTCTGTTTCTCTGCTTCTCTCTCTCTCTCTCTCCAGCAAGTGCACGTGCCCTATAGCAAAAATCTCTCTTAAAAAAGAAAAAGAAAAGGAAAGAAAAAAGAAAAGAAAAGGAAAACGGTTGGTAGAAGAATGAGGAGATTTTCATACCTGAAGTTCTTCAAGTTGAGCATCTATTTCTATTGTTGGATTCCCTAAATATTCCTTCGTTTCCTGAACCCAAGATTTCACAGAATTGATTTGATTCTCCACTGCTTCTCGCTCCTTCAACTCTTGCTTGACAAACTTCCCGTTATTCTTCACTTTGTCCTGCATGCTTCAGACACATTAGAGGGAGAAAGTAGAAGTGAACTAGAAATGAAAGGAACTCCCTAATACATGACATCATGTATTAAAACAGACACAAAAAAGGAAAACCTGCTACCTTTTTTAAAAGTGCAGGTATGTCTCCTGAACTGGCAGATAATTTTCATGACAGTGAAGTTTAATTCAAATATAACAGAAGAATATATGTCATATGAAGTGAATAATTTACCCTGGGAAACTGAGGCTTTAATTATTTTTCTAAGTATCCTGCAGGTGGTTCAATTATTTACTTTGGAAATCTACTCAGGAAATCTACATCATCAGAAGAATTGGCATTTAAAAGGAATGCAAAATTGAAATATTTTTAACTGTTAAAAATCAGTTTTCAAAAAGAAATCAAGTTTTGGAAATACCATGATTAACCATCTTAATTGTGTCCAAATTTCAAGTATTTATTTGAATTAATGCAAATTTGGTAAAAGTGCGAATGTATGTGGAATCAGATTAATTACCCTGGCATAGTCTATACAAAAAGAGGTGAAAGTAGGGTATAGAAGGAAAAATCAATTAATACAGAATTAAATTATCTAATGACATTTTCTCTCTGCCCCAAGAAGTAAAGTAGGCCATTACTGGTTAATCATTAAGATTAATTTTCTTTCTACTATTGTGTCATTGGAAAAGTCATGATTTATGTTTCTGTTATTATATGCAACAATGTGTCATGACTTTTCCAGTGAACCAGTTGATTCGCTACCAGTAAATGGTTATTATTTACTTGAACTTCGGTGTCACCCCTGTTCCTATCTCCCTGTCACTCAACGATAGCTTTTCATGCCTTTCAAACCTAGATTTTAAATATCTCTCAATTGTTTCCCTTCCAAGCAGTTCTTCTGAATCCCTCTGTCCTCCTCCCCTACCACCCAAGGCTTTCCTTGACAGAAACATGGTTACTTCTAAGCTTTTTTACTGTCATTCCTTCATTTGGTAAGACTCTCCTCTCACCTCTAAGCCTTGCTCAAGTCTGCTTGGTTACACCCCACATAACCCTTCTGGAGGGATTCTGTTTGCAATTCTCCTTGCTGGTTCCCTTTGTTTGGAGTCCCTTAGCACCCTCTTCATATGTGATGGAAATGGCTTCTCTCCTCACCTATCTCTGCTGCTTGAGTAAAAATCTTCTGAAGGTAGAGATTAGTCTATCTGGTTCACTAATATATTTCTAAATACTACCAGATATTGCACTTGTACAGTAAATGATTAACACATTAGGAAAATCAAAACTCAGGGGTGATGGGAACAGATGCCCACTTTGTCAAGGCTGCAAAACGGAACACTTCCATACCCAAGTACCACACTTGGGGGGTCCCCTTGGGTCAAGGCCAAGTTTAATAGCAGAGAAGGACAGCAGGTGTATAATTACCTGAGGCACCGATCCTGCATCGCTGCAACCTCCTGCATGATGGGTGGCTCTTCTCCAGGGGCCAGCACAGCCCCATCCTGAAGCAGGCTCAGAGCTTGTTGCTGCAGCATGCCTAAGGTCGACTGCTGCTGTTCCAGCTCCAGGACAAATGTGTCATGATACTCAAGAAGAGTTAAGAGTTCTGCTTTTGAGGCCTTCTCGGCTGAACTTTCAGGGAATTTATCTTGTAGCTGATCAATCATTTCAGTGGCTTTTTTAACCTGATGACAAATATATGTATTATGAAGCTCAAAAATAAATAAATTGAAAAAGAAAACAGGACAATTCAAATAAATGTGACATTTAACATGAATGCATTGGAGTGCATTAGAGGTGATGGTATAAAAACTTTAAATATCAGGAAATTAAAACCAAAGCAATCTCTGTAACATAAAAAGAGAAATTACTTCTATAACTCTGAGTTTAAAGCTTGATCTCAGACAACATCAGGGTAATCAGAGGCTGTTAGTAAGTCAGAAAATAAATGAAAAACTCTAATATTTAAGTTACTGTGAATATATATTTTTGAGTCATATAGGAAGATATGGCTTTAAACATTGAACCCTACTTAAAAAATGGAAGAAATTATGTAGAGGATTTTGGAAATTAGTTAAATTCCTGTCCATTTTTAAGACAAAGAAAAATATTTACGTTTTTTCTTTCTTTCTTTCTTTCTTTCTTTCTTTCTTTCTTTTAAAAATAAACTATTGGGCACATGCACTTGCTAGAGAGAGTCAGAGGGAGAGAGAAAGTGACAAATCACCCCTCAGCCATGCCACAATCCCCTCTCCTTTACTGTCCTCTTGGGGTTCCGGGCATGCACGTACATGCACCTGGCATGACTCTCAAGCCTCTGGGTCGTGGACTTGCACTGCACAGGTGGCCGCGTGGGATCCATGCCTTAACCATCATGCCACTTGCTGGCCCAAGAGCAGGTCAGAAAGTGGAACAAAATGGGCTTGTCCTCCTTTCAATCTTTAATCGCTTGATTTTCTAGTTGAAATAATCTGACCCTGGGTTAAATTGTTAAATATTGTTTTTTGTTTCATCGCTTAATATTTATCACATTAAAACTGAAATGAAAAGAAATAACTTTTCTCATCCCCAAAACAGATAAGGATATGACAAAAAAGGAAAACTACAGACCAATATCATTGATGAATATAGATGCAAAAATTCTCAAAAAGACACTCGCAAATCGTATCGAACAACATATAACAAAGATCATTCATTACGACCAGGTAGGCTTTAAACCAGGGATGCAAGGGTGGTTCAATATACACAAGACCATAAATGTAATACACCATATTAACAGAAAGAAAGATAAAAACCATATGATCATCTCAATTGATGCGGAGAAAGCATTTGATAAAATACAACATCCTTTTATGATTAAGACTCTCAGTAAGATTGGTATAGAAGGGTCATTTCTGAACACAATAAAAGCAATCTATGAAAAACCTACAGCTAATATTATACTGAATGGGGAAAAGCTGAAAGCTTTTCCTCTGAAAACAGGTACTAGGCAAGGCTGCCCACTTTCTCCACTGCTCTTTAATATAGTACTGGAAGTCTTAGCTATTGCAATCAGAGAAGAGAACAGTATTAAAGGCATTCGAATAGGCAAAGAAGAGTTGAAAATATCTTTATTTGCAGATGACATGATGGTATACTTAGAAGACCCAAAGGTATCCATGAAAAAACTGCTTGAAGTAATAAGTGAATACAGTAAGGTGGCAGGATACAAAATCAATATCCAAAAATCTATAGCATTTCTATTTATGAACAACAAGTTGAATGAAGCAGAGCTGAAGAAAGGAATCCCTTTCACCATAGCCACAAGGTGTATAAGATACCTAGGGATAAACCTAACTAAGAAAGTCAAAGACCTTTATAAAGAAAACTACGAGAATCTTAAAAAAGACATTGAAAGTGACATAAAAAAGTGGAAGGACATCCCATGCTCCTGGATTGGTAGAATTAACATAATCAAAATGGCAATTCTACCCAAATTAATCTACATGTTTAATGCAATTCCAATCAAAATACCAGAGATATTCTTCAGAGATCTAGAAAAGACAATTATAGAATTTGTCTGGAACCATAAAAGACCTCGTATTGCAAAAGCAATCCTGCGTAAGAAGAATGGAGTAGGAGGCATATCACTCCCTGATCCCAAGATATACTATAAAGCTGTGGTCATCAAAACAGCATGGTATTGGCATAAAAACAGACATGTGGACCAATGGAAGAGAATAGAGACCCCAGAAATAACTCCCAAAGCTTATAGCCAACTGATCTTTGACAAAGGATATCAGTCAATCCATTGGGAAAAGGAAAACCTCTTTAGTAAATGGTGCTGGAAAAACTGGGTATCCACCTGCAGAAAGATGAAACTGAACCCCCATCTTTCACCATTAACAACAGTCAACTCAAAATGGATCAAAGATCTGAACCTAAGACCTCAGACAATAAAACTACTTGTGGAAAATGCTGGGGAAACTCTGGGAGACATTGGAGTAGGCAAAGACTTCTTAAATAAGACTCCCAAAGCACAGGCAATAATCCCTAAAATAGACAAGTGGGACTATATTAGACTAAGAAGTTTCTGCACAGCAAAGGACACAGTAACAAGTGTGAACCGACAACCCTCAGAATGGGAAAATATTTTTGTTAAATATGCCTCAGACAAGGGACTGATAACGAGAATACATAGGGAACTCAAGTGCCTTATGCGAAAAAAAATGATTAACCCGATTAAAAGATGGGAAAGTGAGCTGAACAAAAGTCTCTCTAAGGAAGACATACGAACAGCCAAAAAGCATATGAGGAAATGCTCGACATCCCTCATCATAAGGGAAATGCAGATAAAAACCACAATGAGATACCACCTAACCCCTGTCAGAATGGCAAAGATTAAGAATATAAAAAGTGATAAGTGTTGGCGGGGATGTGGTGAAAAGGGAACCCTCCTACACTGTTGGTGGGAATGTAAACTAGTTCAACCACTGTGGAGAACAATATGGAGGTTCCTCAAAGATCTACAAATAGAACTACCATTTGATCCAGCAATCCCACTTCTGGGTATTTACCCAAAAGACAGGAGAACGCTCAGTCAGAAAAGTGCTTGCACATCCATGTTTATTGCAGCATTATTCACAATTGCCAAGACATGGAACCAACCTAAATGTCCACAAACTGATGAATGGATTGGAAAAGTGTGGTATATATACTCTATGGAATACTACTCAGCCATAAAAAATAACAAGACCCTGGAATTTGATAGAAAATGGTCAGATATGGAGGATCTATTGCTGAGTGAAGTAAGCCAGGCTATGAAAGAAAGATATTGTATGTATCCACTCAATATATACCGACTATCCGCACTCTATAATAGAGAGCAAAAATTCGGAGGACATAAACACAGTGAAGGTACTTAATGAGAATAGGACAGTGTGGAATGGGGTAAGTGAAGAGAAATAGTGGTTGACTGTTTTTAAAAAAATAATTAGAATAATAATAATAATGATTGGGGAAAACATAGAAAAGATATTGAATGTTGAAGCGGGGAGGTTAATGTCTCTGTATTGACTGACATGCATGGCATTCCCTTTTGAAAAAGCAATGTAATACACTGTAAAGTTATATGTAATCCAATGTAATATAAAGAAGATTATGATGGTAATAAAAATAAAAAGAAAAAAAGAGAGAGAATAACAATTTCACCTATAGCATAGACATATTGCGAAGGGTAAATGAGTTAGTACATGTAAAAATACATTGAACATTTCCTAGCATGTAGGGAGGACTAAAAACTTTGCTTGTACAACACAAGTTGAATGTGAGAAAAGCCATAAATTCTAGTCAATTGTTAGTGACTGCTCCTTCCCAATCTTGAATCTGAAAATGGAGAGTGTTTTTCTGCCAATGCCAGGCAGATAACTATGGGCTTCCCTTGCTATGTGGGAGAATCTGGAAGAAAATTTGAGGGGGAAAAAAATTTAGAAAATTGTCATCATTTCTTTGTATCCAAAATTTTCTTTTATTTCTTTAATAAATCCAGGAGAACTGGATTTAAAAAAAAAAAAAGAACTTTTTCTTGTCATAAAGCCAGTTTCAAAAAGGAGCAAAATATAATAATAAAAATAATTTTGGCCTATCAAGAGTGGGAATTACCTTATCATTAAATCCCCTCCATTCATCCACTGCATCTTCCAGTATCTTCTCCTGGTCCTGGGCCACCGCACGGAGACGTGTCCAGCGCTGCCAGACAGTGGTCATGGATCTGCTTAGCATGGCTTTGCTTGCATCATTCCCAGTTTTCTCCAGGTGTGACGCTTTCTCCTCGAGGGCTGCAGTCTTCTCATGGAAAGAGTTAACCACTGACACTAAAGCCTGGGGCGGGGGTTGAGATAAGAATGAGAGGTTAGGGGAGGTTTGGTAAAATCCAAAATTATCTGCAAAAGGAAGTATTCGATACAAATTTATTCTTCTTTTCTAGTAACTTCTATATTTATTTTTTAATGTTGGCTTAGATACTCTAAAAGAAATAAGGCAACTATTATTATTATCTATCAATATTAAAAACAAAAGTTTATTTTCTACCTTTCCTACTTTTAAAAAACAACAAAACTGTAGGAGACAAATTTGATATTTTAGTATATCGCATTTGTCTTTACGTTACTTTGATATATGAAGGAGATTCAGTTATTAATTTTGAAGTTTCTTTTAATTTACCATCAACAAACTATTTACTGGTATATATTAGGTACCACATCATTTCACAAGTAAATAGCTCTGAGTATCTCTTTTTAAAACTAAGCTATGCATTTCCAAGGCAAATCCTAAAAAGGTAACAGTGTTTCATTAATGGAAAACATCTAAGAGATGTGGTTAAGTGTATCTTTATCATATTTAAAGAAGTCAGGCCAAAATGAAGCTTGATATTCTTTTCTAGAGCCTTCATGTGGTAAAGACCCATTGCAATGACAATTGAAGAATATTGAGAAAAAGCACACAACTGACCTTGTGTTCTGACAGTTTTTCTTCTGCTTCATGACTGGAAGAAGCTTTCAGTAAAGAAAACTCAGACAATTTCTTTTCTGCATCATTCATCAACTCAATAACTTCTTCTCTTGCTTTCTGGTAATCCTGCCATTGAGCTGCACATCTGTAATGAGTTCAACAGAAATCAGTGAGTGATAGGGAAATTACATATTTGCCTGCAAAACTCTGGTATTGTCTAATGATGCCTAAGAGAGAAGAGTGGATTCACGTGCTAATGTATATCGTGGTGCTACTTTCTGTGTGAAAGTTTGCTTCACTACATCGTAAGCCTCATATCTCTGTAAGCCATAAATACCTCTGCAAGAGATCCAACTGCCTGTGTGAGTCCTGGATAATCCTCTGGCTCTTCTCTTCCAGTGTAGCCATTTTCTGGGCCAGATCTTCTTTGGCATTTGGCTTAATGAGTGGGTCTAGACTGGCCACCAGACTTTGGAGTTCCTTCAGATTACTTTGGAACTGATCTTCTGTACTGAAAAATTCCACATGGCTTTTGAGATTTTCTTCCGTACTCTCCACATCTAAGCCATTGCCTGCCAGTTGTAGCATTTCTTGGGCATCTTCAAGCCAGTCATTAGCTACTTGAAATACTTGATAATACTTTTGACATTGACTATATAGTTCAGTCAAGGTAGCCTGAAAAACAGTAATTACAGTCATTACAAATACAATGAAGTCTCAATCACAGTGTGTTTGCAGAAAATAGTTTCTTTTTTTTTTTTCATTTATTTGTCTGTCCTCAGTCCCATGGATATGTATACATAAGTGAATTGATGATTGGTGAAATTGTTTTGCAGAGCAATATGATACATTCCTTTATTTTTCCTTCTGCTATTCCTATTATCATTTTATTATTGCAATTAAAATTAAAAGGGGGAGAAATGGATTAGCAATTTTTATTGGTATCTTGATTAATTCTGAAACTTCCTCTCCAAGGAAAAAAATATAACAGTAATACCTGTCAGACTATGCAGTAATGCTTCAGTTAGTTACAAGTAATAATAACAGCAAACTTATGGACTGGCCTTCACCAGGTCAAATAGCAATTTCTGCAACGGAAACAGTAGGCTGTCAGGACCAGCAGTTAGCGTAATGGCTATGTCGCTGAACTCCCATGTAGCTGACTGCAGTTTGAGTCCTGGACCTAGTGGCTTAAACTCACGCCAGGTGCGTGTGCGTGCGTGCCCAAGATCCCAAGAGGAGAATGGAGGAGAAGAAATTGCGGCATGGACATCCCCCCTGGGGGGTGATTTCTTGCTGCTTTCTATCTCTGACTCTCTTTCTGGGGAGCACACAGACCCTATAGCAAAAAACCTTTCCAAAAAAAAGAAAAAAGAAACAGTAGGCTTTGTGTCTTAAATAGAGATTGTAATGCAAATCTTTTAAGTCTGGAAGGCTGATCCTTTAAACTGGGAAAGAAAGGAAGTGGTTCTAACTGGCCATCAATTACTGCATAACAGAAGCTGCAGGTATGCGATGACAAAGACACAGCGGGGTGGTAGAAGGAGGTTTGTGCCAAGTCAGGAAAGAACAGATGCGGGCAAAGCAAAGAATCAATGGTGGAGATTCGAAATGCCCCAGGAATCACAACCTTCAGTTATTTGGGCCAAGGTAATCAGTAAGAAAAGATGGCAGAAAAATAGACATCTTGAAAGATTTTTTTTTTTGGAGAGTTTTTTTTTTTTTTTTTTTTGCTACAGGGCGCGTGTGCTCGCCAGACAGAGAGAGAGAGACAGAGAGAGAGAAAGCGAGAAATCACCCCCCAGGGGGATGGCCACGCCGCAATCCCTTCTCCTCCATTCTCCTCTCGGGATCTTGGGCACACACGCACACGCGCCTGGCGTGAGTTTAAGCCACCGGCTTCAGGACTCGAACCACAGTCGACTATGTGGGAGTCCAGCAACATAGCCATTACGCTAACTGCTGGCCCCGACATCTTAAAATATTTAATGTTTGGGTTAAAAAATCACCAAATCTGGGACCAGCAGTTAGTGTAATAGCTATGTCGCTGGACTCCCATGTAGTCAACCGTAGCTAGAGGCCCAGACCTAGTGGCTTATACTCACACAGGGCTCGTGTCCATGCATGCCCAAGATCCCAAGAGGAGAATGGAGGAGAAGGGATTGCGGCATGGTCATCCTCCCTGAGAGGAGATTTCTCACTTTCTGTCTCTCTGTCTCTCTCTCTCTGGCGAGCACTCGTGCCCTATAGCAAAAACCTCTCCCCAAAAACAAATCGCCAAATCAGGATCAGCTCCAAAGCACAGTGGTTAAACCTTGTGCTGAGGCAGCTGGATCCCACATGGCTGACCACAGTTCAACGTCTGGCCCCGGCAGCTTAAAAAACACTCTGGGCATGTGTACACACGTGCACCAAATCCTGACAGGATGGGAAATGGAGGAAAAGACTTGTGGTGTGTATACACCCTGCTGGGGTTCTCTCTTTCTCCCTCACAAGTGTACTATCCTTTGGCAATTAAAGAATAAAAATCCCCAAATTAAAAGAAGCAGGCTTATATGACATGCATTATTCAAAGATAAAAGTTCCAGATACTTTCTGCTTTTATTCTTCATGCTACATTATACAGTCTGTCTCTACGCACAGAGTTACAGGGAAATCATTAACATTCACAAAGGTCTTGAATCAATGTGAAAGGGTAAAAGTCTGCTGAAGCTACTTTAGTTTAAAATGCTAGAATGTTACATGATAACGTTCATTAAGAATTTATCAAATAGCAAAATAAAAGTTTTGCTATTGAAAGTATTAACCTTAATCTATGTGGAAAATAAAGGTAAACAATAAGAAATGGTCATCAGCAACTACTTCATATCAGGTCAGATACTAAGAAGATAAATCTAATAAGGGAACATTATTATTCCCCTTCCACAGAAAACCTGAGACAGGATATATAACTTGCCCAAGTGGCTGCGATTACGGTGTGCCTTTCTCTAAGGCTTTAGCTGCTGTTACCTTTAGGGAAGTTGTCTTTTATCTAAATGGTTGGCCAAATCCACTAGAATCTCGAGGGCAGAGGACAGATGTGGAGGAAAGGGGTTAAGGGATTAAAGGAAGCACCTCTGGGTGCTCTTTATATATGTGTGTGTGTGTGTGTGTGCATGCATGTGTGCGTGTGCGTGTATGTATATACGTACGTATATATATGGACCCCCGGAAGGGTCCTGACATTGCAGTCCAACCCTCAATTGTGAACACACATGTGGCTGGTGTATTCTGGAAGGTCTCTGGATGCAAACCTGGAACCTCTCATGCAGGTCAGCGTCTCAGTGTGTTGTGAACTGCTGCACCATTGTCTGGCCTCTCCTCTTATTTTTGAATGCACACAACTTGTAAGCTGCAATTATCAGGCCTATCTGGGAAATTCTGTGCACACTCCCATTTCTCTGTTACCACCATGTGAAGTCTTCATGAATATTTGAGTCTGTGCTACAGGGAAACAGGGCAAGAGACGTAGTTCTCTCTGAGGAGGGGGTGAAAATAGGACAACGAATGAACAACAAAATAGTGTGGCTCAGAGCCAGTGGCAGGGCTGCCATGTCCCCCTGCCTCAGCGTTTGAGGACTCACCATCCAGTGGCAACCTCCGAAATGCCAGATTTCACATTGCCATGCTGGGAGGGTGTGCATGCGTGCCCAAGATCCCGCGAGGAGAATGGAGGAGAAGGGATTGCGGCGTGGCCATTCCCCCTGGGGGGAGATTTCTCGCTTTCTGTCTCTATGTCTCTCTCTGTCTGTCCGGCGAGCGCATGCACCCAATAGCGAAAAACCTCTCAAAAAAAAAAAAATGGGCATTGCTAATTACTCTTTGTGAATCAAACCTGTTATTAATCTAAATACATGGTACTAATTGTATTATTAAGATCATTTATTTCTCTGAGAGGCGAAAGATCACTGAGGGATTACACTATTATAAGCAAAGTGAAGTCCGGAAACCACATGAAATGAGTTGATGTGCATAAATGATCAAAAACCCTTTTTCAAGCTAGGTGGGAGCAGTGGTAACACAACTGAACCCACATGGGAAAGGTCCTGAGTTGCATCCTGGGACCTCCCTGAGCACGCTGGGTGTACACATGTGTCTGTCATCTGAGTCACCAGAGACTAGGGGTAGGTCGTAGCATGAAGACTCTACTGGGGCTGTCTCTTTCTCTGTCTCTATCTCACTCTCTCATGAAAAGAAATAAACATGAAAAGAATCCTGAAGTCACTGTTGGAAATTATTCTGTAAGTATCAAAAAAGAACTATTTAAGGAAGCAGTTCTAACCAACCCACCAAGCAAACAAACCAATTTCCTGCACCTATTTACAATGAAGCAAAGAGGGAGAAAGAACAGTAAAGCCTGACGATGCCAACCTGTCTGGTGCGTAAAGCTTCCTGAATGTCGCCGTCGAGCTCTGAGAGTTCAGCAAGCGTGTGCTCTAAATCAGCAGAGATCAGTTCCTTTGCTTTCGTGAATTTCTCCTTCTCCTTGCTGCTCAGGGCAGTCATGATCCTTAAGCTGGACTGGACCTCTTCCTGATGGATCTGGGTCTTTCGGATTTCCTCCTGGATGTCCTGCAGGCTGAGGTCCAGGCACACTGGCCCACTGAGCTCCGCCTTGACTCTCCTCAGCCAGTCCAGAGAGCGGCTCATCTCAGTCTGGAAGTCAATACTCTGCACCATCCTGCTCTCGCACTCGGTCACAGTCTCGCCAATGGCAGACGTCAGCAGATTCAACTCCTCTTGCCAGGACTGGATCTGATGCTTGGCTTTCTCATAAGCCAAGGGATCAAGGTGTGGAATGAGATCTTCCAGGTGCACAGTCACCTGTTTCAGGAGAATCCCTGAGTCCTGCAGGCTCCCCGCCAGGGAGTGATACACTTTGAGCTTCTCCTCTGCAGGCAGCGTTTCCTCATTCACTTTGGACTGCTCTGTTTTCACAGCCTCTAGTTGCCCCTCCAGCCGGCGGCACATCTTCTCGTGCTCCTGGTAAGCACTCGTGGTATCTTCTAGAAAGCTGACCCTTTGTTCTGTTTGTCGCTTCAGCTTGTGATACAAGGTGACCAGATGCAGCATCTTGTCTGGCTGCCAGGGCTGGCCTGTGCTGCGAAAGCTCTCTTTTTTCTGATTCAATTCATCCACTGCCTCTTCAAGGGCCACTACCTCACCCAGAAGAGCTCGGCAACCGTCCTGAAGAGACAGTGCTTCCTCGATGACCAGCTCAGCGGGAATTTTGCTCATCTTTAAGAACTGGTCTTCAAGTTCACTCAGAGACTGGGTGGTCAGCTCTATCAAGGAAGCGTATTCTTTCCGAGCAAGAATTGCCTCTTGGACTTTATAGAACTTGTCTTTAGCCAAGGCCACAATGACATTCAGTTGCTGGGGCAGAGCGTTCAGCTTTTCACTGAGGTAGGAATGATCAACTTCATTCAGCGATGGCAACATGGCCTGCCCAGTCCTCTGCAGCATAAGGAGCAGGTTCTCATATTCCGGAGATTGTTCAAGAATGTGCTGGTATTTGGCCAGCTGTGTGTGAAGCTCAGGGGTCTCATTCATCAGGTTGATTTCAGGAAATGTGACAATATCGGCTTGTTTGAGCCAGTGACAAGCTTTATCAAAATCTTCCTTAAAATGCTTCCTAGAAACTAAATTTTTCTCTAGTTCTTGTAACCGATGGCTACACTTTTGTAAAACACTGTCGTACACACTCTGCAATTCCTGAAGTTTCCCCAGCACTTCTCCCTTTTCCTGCTCTGGGACTCCTTTCATTAACTCCCGGCCCTGGGCCCAAAGTCCCGTGACCTCATTTTGGTACGTCTTGAGACTGGCTTGCGCACTTTTACACGTTTTCACCTGTTTGCTCACATCGTCTGGGAGCAGGCAAATGTGTTCCCGGAACATTATCTTTCGCTCATGTTGTTGGATTTGGCTGGTCGCCTGGAACACTGCCATGAGAAACTGGGTTTTCTCAGACAAGGCTTTGTTTAAGTACTTTCTTCTCTGGCCCACTAAGTCACTGAGACAGTTCACGTGCCTTTGAGCCTCGGAGAGTGCCTTCTGGATGATCTGCCGCTCATTCAGGCCGAGGTCAGCCATTACGCGGTCAGCGTCCTTTATGAGCGACTTCAGAAGCATCTGTTTGGCCTCCAGCTCACTGCAGATGGCCAGGTGATCCATAAGGAGATTTTGAGCCATCTCAGGAGGCGGGCTCTGCTTCAGGGCCTCAGCGATGTTGGGTTGTTGCTCTTCTGCCCACTCCATGAGCTCCTGAAATCTTGACTGCACCACATTTAACTCCTCCAAGTTGGTGACAGATGCCTGGATTTTCCTTTTCACTAGATCCTCAAGCTGAAACCAACGTCGTTCATAGTGACTGGTCTGCTCTTTCACTAGTTCTTTGTCATCTAAATTCAGATGCTCTATCATTTTCAGCTTTTGCTCTTTCAGATCGTCGATGGCATGCTTTTTCTCCTGCAACGCCAATGCTAACTTTTTCAAAGCTTCCAGGTGGACGGCGGTACTCTCGGCATCAGATCTGCAAGTACATTAGGAGATATCAGAGCAAATTGTCTTCAGTCAACATCAATGTTTGCTCCCAGTATGTTAAATTCTACTTTACCATTGACAGAGGCACTATAATTATCATAGAATACATGCCCCATATGTTTTCTTTATCTGAAGTTGAATCAAATCCAGCTGCCTAGGTACTTCTCAACTCCCATTTTTCTAGCTAATGCTGTCCTCCCATCATATCTGGTATATGCTTTTTGCTTCCTCTGGCTCTTATCAGCTAGGCAGAATCTGCTTGATAACAAGATCCCTGGATGATTTGTATTATATTAAACATTGGGAAGCAGCAATTTACTGCATTCTTGTCAATGGCAATAAAATTAATTAATTAGTGATCATGATTTATGTGCTTTCTTAAAGGAAATGGCTCCAATAAAAATATACTGCTAGATATTACATACTGTAATGTACAGCTCATGACTCTAACAACTTCTCAACTGTGCAGCTCACTGTATTTTATCATTATAAAACCAAAGTGACAGATAATAACTTCTGGAAATGCTCTAGCAAACTGAATCAATTCCTTTTAGAAGCTTCTCACAGTTAGAAATATAAGAACAAACTTTATACATCAGACTAGTCAATGCATTTTTAAATACTAATCAATGTATGTTTCTATAAAATAAAAATTAATAGAAATTTCTTAAATTGACAAGCTTACACATTAAAACAAAACTCAATGAGTAGTTTTTATTCAGGATTTGTAAAGAGAAAAAATCAATAATTTGGGGACCAGCAGTTAGCGTAATGGCTATGTCGCTGGACTCCCATGTAGTCGACCGTGGTTCGCGTCCTGGACCCGGTGGCTTAAACTCACGCTGGGCGCATGTGCATGCGTGCCCAAGATCCCGAGAGGAGAATGGAGGAGAAGGGATTGTGGCGTGGCCACCCCCCTGGGGGGTGATTTCTTGCTTTCTGTCTCTCTGTCTCTCTCTGTCTGTCTGGTGAGCGCACCCACCCTATAGCAAAAAAAATTCTCAAAAAATAAATCAATAATTTGAAATCAACAAAATGGTCTCTTCTGTGTTAAAAAAAAGTAATTTAAAAGAATAAGTATGAAATGCAGAGTTCTTATTCCTTTGGCTACAAAGCACATGTGAGAAAGTAGTCCATTTCATTTATAAAATGTTCATTTCTAAAGTATGGAGAATAGGGTTGTAAGACAGTTAGAGAATTCTGTTTTGAACATGTTTGGTGTCAGATGCCTTTGGGCAAACTGTAAACCAAAAATATTTTTTTTGCTGGTACAAAAAGACTAAAAGTTAATGGAAAATGGAATCAAAGGACAAGCTTATTTTTGTGCAGAAAAATTGACATCTATGCATAGTTTTTTCATAAAACACATTTTTCATAAATTGTCAAAAGACTCCTGTATTGTCTGGATTTATCCCAAGGACCAGAAAATGTTGAGCATCAAGGAAAAGTAAATAGATAAAAAAAAAATTATACCAAAATAAACAACAAAACACCCCTCCATGACCTGATTACATCTAGAATAATGTTTCAGGCAAGTTAATAAATCTTGGCAGAGGAAGTACACATTTTTGCAATTAGGGTGATCAAGAGTATAGAACAATTTTCATATGTATGTGTATCATTATTTTCTAAAGAAAAAAGCTAAGAGGGGATTAATTACTACAAGATCACAATGGACACAAATTAACTAAATTTGAATTCTTCACTAATTTCTAGAAATGACATGTATTGGGTCATTGGAAAAGTCATGATACATTTTTCTATTTTTTTCTAGGCAAAAATGTGTCATTACTTTTCCAAAGACCCAATACAAGACAACAGTTGACTAAATTACAGTTTTGATAAGCAACCTATGGAACAGATAGGTTTAAGAAAGATTCATGTCATAAATTCATAAGTGATAGTTTTGTAATTGGGAATTAAACAAAACTCGAAATGTTCTTGGGGTATTTTTAAGGTTTTAGAGAAACAATTTTTGAAATATTATTTGAGGTCACAGAGAAAAATGATGCTATTTTCAAGCATTTCTATTTTATTAGACTAATGTTAAGGTAGAAAAACCATGACTCTGTATCCATATTAAGAAGATTAGGTTCAGGGAACCAGCAGTTAGCTCAATGGCTATGTCACTGGACTCCCACATAGTCAACCATGGTTCATGTCCTGGACCCGGTGGTTTGAAACTCACGCCGGGCGCGTGTGCGTGCGTGCCCAAGATCCTGAGAGGAGAATGGAGGAGAAGGGATTGTGGCATGACCATCCCCCCTGGGGGGTGATTTCTCGCTTTCTGTCTCTATATAGGTCTCTCTCTGTCTGGCGAGTGCACGTGCCCTATAGTGAAAAACCTCTCTAAAAAAAAAAAAAAAAAAATACAGCTGGGCGTGTGTGCTTGTGTGCCCAAGATCCCGGGAGGAGAATGGAGAAGGGATTGCGGTGTGACCATCCCCCCTGGGGGGGTGATTTCTCGCTTTCTGTCTCTATGTCTCTCTCTCTCTCTGGCTGGTGAGCGCACGCGCCCTATAGCGAAAACCTCTGAAAAAAAATAAAAAAGAACATTAGGTTCAACAGGTGGCGTGGTAGTTAATGTACTGCACTCCCACATGGCCAACTGCGGTTCCAGTCTCAGATCCAGTGGCTTGTTTTCTCACTCCCAGGTTCTCAATAATGCTTTACTAATATCACTAATGATCAACAACAGATAACATAAATTTTAAATTTTTGTACAAATGAGAATATTTCTGGTTTAGCATTTTGGTGACCAACTGCAGAATTTCTGTTACCTGGCAAGGTTGTCCCATTCTGTAGTAAATTTTTCTAAAAATGCTTCAACCACATTCATGCAGTCATGGTAATCTCTTGTTCTCCGAAGTTCCTCTTCCCTTTGCAAGCACAGGTTGTTAGACTGAAGGCACAGATCCAAGCACTGGTCATTTAGATGATGTATTTCCTTGTGTTCAGGAGACTCCTGCTTCTTTGTTAACTTATTGATTTTTTCTATGACAGAATTCACTGATGCCTGTTTGCACTCCAGTTTCTTAACAAAATCCTAAAGGAAAACAGCAAAACAAAAAGAGGTAATATGTAATGAACCCCTCCAAGTAAATAGACAGTGAAGCAGACAACTCTCTCTAAATGTTTTAAGTTCTTCAACATTAAAAACTGAAAAACTAAAAGGGTCATGAGGGACAAACAAGTGTGTAAAAATCAAGGTAACTGCACCATTTTAATTTATTGTGTTATTTTGGAAAGACTTAAGAAAAACTGATAAATGTGAAATGATTATAACTAAAGAACAAAAGGATCTTACCTTGAAGTATGATCCTAGTTTCCTAAAAGATTTAGAGTTCATACTTTTGGGAAAAAAGACATCTAATTTATGTTATCTCTATATTCTTTTTTTCTGATTTTGTAAAGGATAGTCCAGTAGAAAACATATGACTTACTATAATAGAGAAAAAGTAACACCTTAAAGTTTGTTAAAAATGTTATCCCATTTCTAATAAAGTGGATATACTTATAATAATTTTCTGTTATTTTTAAATTATATATAAATTATGTAATATGAATTATATTTTGATTGCATTTAAATTAATTGTGTACTTAATTAAATGCTAAGCTTACAGTTCTATAATTTTAACAATATAGTGAAAAAAAATCTGAAAAATAATAAAGCTTTTTTGCTTGCTTAATAGCAGAAACTTTGGTCTTCTGGCTCTGTAGGCTCTATGAAAGCCACTTTATTCACGAACAAGGTATAGAGTGAATATTTTCTGATGTAATTCATTTAGACGTCCCATCATGTATTCGAATGTTTATAAATTGTTTCCCTTTCATGCCAAATAAAGGCTTCTCAAAATTTTCACTATTCCCTAAGCAGCTGTATTATCGTCTAAGGACTGACAGAATCCAAGCGTGGTGAAATAAATGTACTGCATAGTTCATCTTTTCTGTCTTGGCCTCCTTAATCTCCCCTGGAGATAAATTAATTCCCACCTTTACTTGAGAAACCATGTTCTGTGCAATATTTAGCTCCAGTTCAGAGTGCCTCCTCTTCATATTCTGTAGTTGCTGATCAGCATCCTGGAGATAAATCCACAGCTCAGCTTTCAGGTGCTTGATCTCTTCCCAGCCCTGAGTTATGTTCTGTGCTTGGACAAGCCTTTGTTCAATCTTGAGAAAACACAGGCATAAAAGTTAGTAGCAAAACATGGAATTAGCCTGTGTCTAATGACTGATGGCTGGATTGAAAAAAAATGTGGCAACATATACATGGAATACTACTGAGCCATAAAGAACGGCAAGACTGTCATTTGATTCAAAGTGGATGAACATAGAAGATTCCATGCTAAGTGAAATAAGCCACACTAGCAAAAACAAACATCGTATATCCCCACTCAATATATACTGAATGTCTACGCTTTATGGCAGAAATGGAAAGATTTGAAGATACAGTAGTATGGAAGGCAAAGGTACATACCAGAGACCGTATAAGAGGGGGGCAGATCATAAGGGATGGGATGGGAGCTCAGGGAAAATATATTTAACAAACAGGAGATTATAAGGTTCTTTGTTGAAAATGATATATATGCTAATGTCCTTCATTTGATTATCACACACCACATGCATGCTTTGAAAAACATATTGTGTTCCATAAAGATGTACGGCAATTAAATGTAAACAAGAACTTATTAAAAAAAGAGAAATTTAACACAAAAACTAGCAGCCACAAATAGAAACATTATGTTCAATGAATCAGAGCTGCAACTGTTTTGGCTGGTCTGTGTGTACACACTGATAAATGCAAAAAGCACTTCTATTTGCTTCCACAAAGAGCAGGTTTTCTTTTAGATAAAGGGTTTCTAAATGTCTGGGAGTTAAGCTGCATGATTCTAAACCATACTGTGAGGCTCTGAGAAGTGTTAACAATTTAGTAGATCCAAAGCTGCCCTGATAGCTTGCTTTTCTTTTCTTTTTCTTTTTCTTTTTTTGTGGAGAGGTTTTTGCTCTAGGATGCATGCGCTCGCCAGAGAGACAGAGAGACTGAAAGCGAGAAATCATGTCCCAGGCAGAGATGGTCATGCTGCAGTTCCTTCTCCTCCATTCTCCTCTTGGGATCTTGGGCATGCATGCACATGAACCTGGTGTGAGTTTAAGCCACCAGGTCCAGGACTCGAACCTTGGTCAACTACATGGGAGTACAGTGACATAGCCATTATGCCAACTTCTGGTCCCAACCCTGATGGCTTTTTACACTGGGTATTTCTGTGGGCATCTCTGTTTGACTGCCTATTTAACTTGGTATTGGGTAACTAGATAAGAGTTACATTTTTCTCTCTTGTATATGTGTTCATCCTTTTTAAAAAACACTAACACTAATTATTAATGTTCTGTATATATCTTTAGATCTTTGAATGCTTTTGAAACTGTATAATTTATTTCAATAAGTCATTCTATAATAAAATTTTTTTTAAAAATACACGAATTATATCTTTTTTTTTTGGAGAGGTTTTTTTTTTTTTTTTTTTTTCTTTAGGGGGTGTGCGCTCGCCAGATAGACAGAGAGAGACAGAGAGATAGAAAGCGAGAAATCACCCCCCAGGGGGATCATCACGCCGCAATCCCTTCTTCTCCATTCTCCTCTCGGGATCTTGGGCATGCACGCACATGCGCCTGGCATGAGTTGTAAGCCACCGGGTCCAGGACGTGAACCACAGTCGACTACATGGGAGTCCAGTGACATAGCCATTACGCTAACTGCTGGTTCCCATGAATTTTATCATTTTTCATAAGGATTTAAAGATAGTTTTGGTAACATAAAAGAGAAGAGCCTTATTATTAATAACTTTTTTATTTGAATCATTTACTATTCTGTGAATTTTTAATAAATTAAATGCAAAAACTAAATTTTGTTTTTCTTTCTTTCTTTACTTTTAGAGAGATTTTTGCTATAGGGTGCATGCACTCACAAGAGACAGAAAACAAGAAATCACTTGCTGGGGGGATGGCCTTGCTGCAATCCCTTCTCTTCCATTCTCCTCTTGGGATTCTGGGCATGCATGCACACGTGCCCGGTGTGAGTTTTAAGCCACTGGACCTGTGGACTTGAACTGCAGTCAATTACATGGGAATCAAGCAATGTAATCGTTATGCCATCTGCTGGTCCATTTGCTTTTCTTTTAAACTCAAATGTACTGCATAAAATAATTCAAGGCTGCCGTGGCAGTGACAGTGACACAGCCTCTGTTCTGCCACCTATCTATTGTGGACAGGTACTGCCAGCTCATCAAAACACTTTCCACTGAGCCAGATACAGCCTCAGAATCCTTCTCAACACCACACTTGATAGCCATTACCAATGAATTAGAGAATAATGATAAACAGAACTGGAGTGTTCTTCGGCATCCTTGAAATAACAAATGAAGGATTAAGAGATGATTTCATATGAAGTATTATATAAAGAAAAACATGGAAAAGGAGGCAATAACTACAAGGAGTGTGGATAAGTAGGAAAACGTGACGAGAGTTGGTAATTAAGAAGAAAAAAAGGAAAAGGTGCTAATAGGTGGCATTCAGAGGAAACTAAATGATCCAGTCCCAATTTGGAGTTATCAGTTTCATACTGTTTACTTTTCTATGACTTAGCAGAAATTCCAATATCTATGATAAAGGCCATAGGAGAATTACAGCAAGAACAACCCAAAAGATATTTTTATAGACCTTACATTACATTCAAACAAAAGAATACAATAAAACAGACAAATCAACTGTGATTTTTTTTTTTTTTTTTTTTTTTTTACCTTTTGTTCTGTTTGTTGAATATCTTTTGCCGTGGTTTTCACTGAAGAGTTTGACAAATCACACATTGAGCAAAGGAGATCTAAGTAGGTCCTTGCTTGCTCTTGCAAAGCTCTGAAGTGTTTGACCTGAAAAAGGGTAATTGAGAGAAAGGTTCATGCTGTCTAGTTAACAAGTATTAGTATCATTTGTAATATTCGGTTGACACTTCAGAAATAATCTTCTTCACTCTGTGTTTTAACCACTGTTGTAAGTGACATATTAGTGACGCACAGGAAAGACTTGAAATGCATACACATGGATTATTTGTCCACCATCTGCTTTTGTAATTAACGTAATCTACATGGTCTAGGGAAGGGGAAAACCCCAGAAATTGGAACAGTCTTTCCAGATTCTGTGCTCACGTTCTAATTTATTTTCCATTTCAGGGAAAGACTGTTTCTTAACATATTTTTGCATGTCTTGGAGACAAATTAAGGTCAGGGTCAGTTTGTAGGCTTCATTAGAGTGAGATAAAAACACAAATGGCTGAGCTTTTCTCTGCAGGAAGCTCATCTTGTGCTTCTCCCTGTCCAAGAGCTCAAGAAAAGTTTCTCCAGGTGGGTCTTTAATCCATGCATGGAAACAGAGCAATCGTGTTTCATTGCAGATGGTCAGTCTAGGCAGGTTCCATTTATATACTGGGCATAAAGCAGTCCACAAAACAAAATGCAGGTCTTTGATGTTCCCATCATTATAAAAGAGACAGATCTAGAGTTGAACTAAAGGCTATGCAATGTTTGATAGTGCTAGACACCATCTAGAAAAATACAGGTGGTAAAGGGATATGGTGTGAGGAAGAAGAGCCACTACAGCAGGAAGAGTCTCTCCAAGACCTCTCTGAGAAACAGACCTGAATGCATTGAGGGAGAAAGCTGTGCCATGGAGGAAGAATGTTCTAGGCAGGGCTGACAGCAGATGCAGTCCCGAAGCAGGATCAGAGTGAACCACATAGAAGCAGAGGTAAGACAGGTGGGCAGGGGCCAAGCCATGGAGCCCCTTATAAGGGGAGTTGACAATATGTCCCAATTTTTTAGGTTTATTCCTCTTTTCTAGAGTTTCTCAACCTCAGAGCTATTGATATTTGAGGGCAAATAATCCTTTTAGTGGGGGCTGCACTGTGCATCGCACAATGTCCAGCAGCATTCTCAGCCTCTACCTACTAGATGCCAGTGGCCATCTCTACTACTCCCCAGTATAACAACTAAAAATGTACTCAGATACTGCCAACTGTCCCCTAAAGTGCAAAGTCACCACCTCCCCCACAGCTGAGGATCATTGTTCTCATTCTATTGGATTATGAAAAGTAGTCAGTTTATTATCAAAAAGGTTCCTTTCTGGAAAACAAATTATTATATGACCAGCCTATTCATAGGCCATGACAAGAAATTTGGACCTTACTCTCAGTGTGATTGGAAGATGTTGGAAAATTATGATAGGTCATTGTCTCCCAAAGAATAGCTCTTGTCATTGTGTGGAGAACAGTCTATGAAGACAGCAGACAGGACTGGAAGTAGGTGACCAGTTACCAGGCAGGAATCAGATGAGAAGCAGTGAAGGGTGGTAGTTAGGTTGTAAGTTGTAGTTCTTGGCAAAAAATAAAGAAGTATTGACTGCAAGTGGTAGTGGATGAAATTGACTTATAGACACATTAGGGAATTTTTGAAAATCATAAAGACAATAATGGGGCCCAACGGTGTCAGAATTTTTATTTAACAAATATACATAGTTCAAAGGAATAATGATTTATTCTGAGATTTCTATAGCTGACCTAATTTCAAAATCACTGGGGCACCTTATACACTGTCAGTGATAAATACAGTTGCAAAAGAGTTTTGCTAAAATCTACCTCAAAGGCAAATCTGACAGTCTCTTATTTCCAAAAATTCAAATTTTATGCCTTATAGAAACATGGCACTCTGAAGAGAACCAAATCAGCATGGTCATTTTCTTGCAGTAATGTAGGATGTGTTGTCATTATGCTTAATCATTTACTGAATGAAAGGTGCGGGGGCACGCAATGCACCTTGGGTCCATGGCCGTGACCCTAACTCTGTCTGAAGTTGTCACTAGGGGGCTTCTCCAGCTGCATTTCCAAACTAACCAAACACGAAGGCCCTCCTCAGTTTTAAATGAACACAGGACTAATCAAGGTGAAAACAAACTAATTATAATAAATCAAAGGACAACAGAAAAGAACAAACAAAATAAAATCCATCCCCTTCAGAGTGACCAAAGTCCAGGCATCTCTGCTGCCTCTAATCCCTTCACACCATCTTCAAAGGGAGGCCAGACAACGTGAAGGTTTGCGTGGAAGATGCAAAAACTAAAACCTCTGGTCACATAACATAGAATCCTAGAAAGGCCAGCATCCTTCCATTTATTCTAGTAAGTGCAGTAAATCTTCTATTCTACAATAGCTTGGAATTAACATCCTCCTACACTCTCCTTTTATTTCTTTCCTGGCAATAAACAAAGGGGAAAAAACAGTAAGCTTTTGGCCCAGCCATGTTGTACAAGCAGAAAGGCACGGTAGTACAACACCAGAGGCCCGGGTTTCAAACCTGGGTTGCACTGAACACACTATCTGCATCCACATGTCCCTGTGATTCTGGGTGGCTGAGAGGTAAGGAGAGGATTGTGGTGTGGTAATACCCTGTCAAGGGAACCTCTCTTTATGTGTCTCCAACTCTCAATAAATAAATAAATAAACTTTAAATATATATAATTTTTTAAAATGAGATTTGTTTTGATTGTTCTAAAAAATACTTTGGAAACAAAGAGTCTCAAGACAAGGGAAGACTCCAGGAAACATATTCTAATAAAAATGCAGAACATAATCAGTCTTTAATTCATACCTTTTTTTTTTTTGATCCAAGGAGCTGTGTTGCATTTGCTTATTCTTAATCTTTATAATATGTACACTGAGGTCAGCCATTTAGACTTAAATAATGTAAATCATTTAAACCAGAAAACATACTTTGGGGGATGATTTAACTAGACATCCTTCTATGTGGATTAAATGAACAAGTGCATTATATTAATCTCAGCATGTAGTATGAAATTGAATTATTTATTTAATACTGTTAGTTCATATCTGGCAGCAATAATAACCTTTACAACTGAACTCCTCTAAAACATTTTTCTGAAGGCTTAACACTGCATAGAAAAGCTGCTTAGTCCAAAGGTTTCAAAATTCTTCTCACATATTCTGAGTAAATCTTAGCATGAGAATTTGAAGCATGTGGATGTCAAACTAATAGAAAGTAGGTTTCTTTCACATGAAAACAGTTAACATCGCATTCACCATCCATTAAATAATTATTGGGTTGCTGGGAAAGTCATAATGCATTTTTTGCATTAGAAAAATGGCATAACTTTCCCAACAACCTAATATTTATTTAATACCTTGTCTGTGCCCCAGAACTATGGGGCATCATTGTTTTTCTGTTTATAAATCATGTTCATTTGGGGACCAGCAGGTGGCATGGTGGTTAAGGTGCTAGACACTCCCACATGGCTGACCACAGTTTGAGTCCTGGGCCTGGCAGCTTGCTTTCTCACTTTGCCTCTCTCTCTCTGGTCAAATTAAAAGAAAATGAATGAATAAATAAAATTAAACAATTATTTAAAAAGATAAATCATGTTCATTCAAGGTATGATATTTGAATTTTTCAGAAGTAAGTATACTTGCAATCATCACTCCACATAGCAGGAAACTGAGACTCAAATTCAGTGACTTATTCCTGGTCACTCTACCAATCAGGTATTAGAATTGATCTCTTGGTTTCAATGTCCAGACTCTTTCTATTCAATCAACTTGATCCCTCAGGGCTATGTCCATCTTCCTTGCCAGTACATGAACTTGATCAGAGCCAAGCTCATACCTTATTTAGATCTTCAGATGCCTGGAGCTAGCACAACTTGGCACTTACTAGGTGCTTAATGTTTTCATTGAATGTCTGAATGACTCACACGAATAACACAAATTTCAGGATTCTACTACCTGCTTAACTGCTTCTGCCCTACTGAGAGGCGGGTGAGGGCTTGGTTTTAAGTCGGGTTGGACTGCAGAAAGCCAGGCTTGACACTGCTGCAGCGTGTCTTGTCGGCTGACATGCTTCTGAAGTTCATGTTCCAAACTCTGGTATACCTGAGATTAAAAAAAACAAATAAGCAAAAATTAGGCTAGATTGTGAGAACTGTTTTCTACTCTATAGAGATCATTGGAATTAAATGAAACATGTCTACAAGCCCACTTACATGAATTTTTCCCTAGGATCTCCCAACACTATACACATCTCTAAGGTGGTTGTATAAGTTCCAAAATGTTGCAAAACACAATGGCATCTGCTTATAAATTTCTCAATCCAAACATCATAATGTGTTGTGTTGTTGGTAAAGTTGTGACATATTTTTTCTGTTTTCTTAAGCAAAAATGTGTTATGACTTTTCCAACAGCCCAATCATATGATTAGGTGAAGACAGCAGCAGCAGGGTTCATATAACTGTAGAAACACGCTAGAGTATATAAAATAATTGAGGCAAATTTTCATAAACATAAGTTTAAAAAATCTAAAAAACTAAATTTACTGTAGAACGTGTGTGATCACTGGTGACAGAGAGAGAGAGAATAAAGTGAGAAAGCATTCCCTCCCCTCCAAAGGGAAGCAATTCCTTCTCCTCCACTCTCCTCTTGAGATTTTGGGCATGCACATACATGTGCTTGGTGTGTTTTTTAAGCCACCAGGTCCAGGACTCAAACTCAGTTGGCCATGTGGGGTCCAGTTGCTTTGACCACCACACTACCTAGTTGGTCTTAAATAATATTTTTAAAAGGTGTTTTATTTTCTTTTTCATTTTTGCAAACTTTAAATATGAGGTTTTGATCATGTTCTTAGGGTTTCTTCTGCTTTTTAGTTTTTATGAATTACGTTGGTCTTTTTAACATTAACTTTTTTTTTTTTTTAATTTTAAGCTGTGTCCCTCATGCTGAGATAGTGTTCATTACAAAGGACAGCAGTGGTGACAAAATGCTCTCTGTCATCATTTGCAATGGTTTATTACATCCCTTTACCCTTCTTTTTCCTCAACTTTTTGAAGGTGAATTTTGCAAATCTGGGTGTCAGCTAGTATCAGCTGACACTTTTTATTTATTTATTTTACTATTTTATTTTATACGATCACGGTATATCACCACAGCTTGTAAAAAAAAAAAAATTCCCTGCATAGATACACTACACACCTGTCCAAGTAAAGGTATTATCATACATACTATCATCAATAGACAATTTTCCACCTGTGTTCCTTAAATGTCTTGTCTTTTTATTATTCTCTCTGATTCCCTTCCTCTTTTTAATTATAATGAATGACGCAAACTATTCTCCCATGTCACTGATATGTCACTCTTTATTATAGCTAGTGCACTAACAAAAATACCTCAAAGGCCTTCAAAGGTATATAAAAATTTTGTGCAATGACTAGCATTCAAAAACTTAAGAGTAATGAAAAGCAATCCACTTGTTTTACTAATTTTTTATTAAAAGGTCAATTCTTATCCAGCTTAAATTTATTTATAAATAAAAATTCTGATTTAGTAGAAGTAAACTCACTGAAATATAATTCAAAACTGACATTTTTTAATTTCTATATAGATGCATGAAAATACTGAATTAGAGCAGAAACTAAGCTGTATTGAACTAAAAAGAATAATTGTGAAAATTATAAAATAAATTTATTTTAGCATTATAGAATAGATGACAAATTAAAAGTATTGATGGTGCACAAATAAAAACAAATAGACCAACTTTTAACAACATTTTTCATAATCAATTCATAGAATAAAGGAATTGGGTAAAACTAAACATCTGAAATTCTCCCTTTTGTCCCATTGATTAAATACATGACATGTTAGTTCCGTGTTCACATCCAGACTGTGAAATGTGTCCTCCTTTCTCCTGTCTGGAGCCCATCAAAACTATTCAAAAGAGTTAGGCAGCGATCCCATTGGTAAGAATGTGGCACAGCCTTCCTCCATCATTCAGGGTCACCACAGAGTGTTCTGGAAGCACTCACCCTCTGAGCCGTACTGCAGATGGCTGAGTAACTGTCCTTTGTGCCCTGCAGGTGAGCATGCACGTTTTGTTTGAGTTTTGCTTGCAGGTGGTCTGCACATTGACCAATCAAAGTGTCACCTTTCACTTTAAGGTTGTCCAAACGGTCTTCGAAACCAGCAATTTCTTCCATCATTGCCTGTAAAAATGAAATAAATATAGGATTCTTATAAATCTGTTTTGGGGCTTAAAAAATACTCATAAATAGAACATTTAAGGTTGATGATTTCACTAATGTAGCTTTAAAAAGAGTTTTGCAATTGTCTTGGTTGCATATTAATAAATAAAAGAAAAGCACATGTATGTCTCCAGGCATATTCCAGTAGGAAGAGTTAATGAATTTAAGGGATTAGTTACAGAAGGAATGATGAACCAATCTTTAAGAGTAGAGTGTGTTCATGTCTGGCCTCAAAGAGATAAAAACTCTCTGGTGTTATTATCAGAAAACAGGATGTCCATACGTTTTTCATCCCCATAAGTTATACTTCTGGTATAAATTTTATCTAAAACAATCTAATTAGTATTTAATCTAATTGATCTATTGGGTCATTGAGGAAGTCATGATATATTTCTGCATAGAAAAATATGTCATGAGTTTCCTAATGATCTAGAACTATCTAATTTCTGCAATAATCTAGTATTTAGTTATTAATTATGTATTAGGTTGTCAGAAATGTCATAACACTTTTTTACATAGGAAAATACATCACAATGTGTCCAATGACTCCTAATATCTAATTTATATATATAATAATACTTACATTAATTAAAATAGTATTTACATTTATAATTTATTAAGCACCTGGTATAGTCCAGGGTTACACATAAGCCTTGACAAACGTGCAGTATCATTTCCCAGATGAGGAGACTGAAGCACAGAGGGGCTACTGTTATAACACACTCAGGGTCTCACAACTAGTAAATGGCAGAGCTCCCTGGGTTTGGATACAGCTCTGCCTGGTTTGAGCTCACACCACTGTCACCACATGTATTCCGTAGTGAGCTTTCTCACAGATCACCCAGGAAGGAGGAGCCAAGTCCTTCAAATCAGGTTGTAATTGCCATACTGCTATATGATGCTTATGCAGATGACACATTCCAACACAGGGTTGTCTGTGTTGACACATCAATATATCCAAGAAAAACTTGGGTGGTTTGGGGTTCACCATTTTTTCTAATAGTGCTGACCCAGTGGTTCTTATAATATACCCAACTGAGGAAAAAAATGTAATCTCTAAGTGGGAATAGAACCATTATATCTTGATGACATCACTTCAATAATCTGAAGACTTGTGCTAGTTGGTGGTTTTACTTTGGTTGTCCTCCCCAAAATTCACGTGTTAAGATTTGGTTATAGGGCTAGCAGGTAGAATGGAGGTTAAGGTGCTGGATCCCACATGGCCGACTGCACAGTTTTTCCTGGACCCAGCTAGGTGTACTCCTCAAAGGAGAGTGGAGGAAAAGGGACTTTTGTGTGGCCATCCCTCCTGGGGAGTAGTCCTGGACCCAGCTTGGAAATAATGCTAGGTGTACTCCTCAAAGGAGAGTGGAGGAAAAGGGACTTTTGTGTGGCCATCCCTCCTGGGGAGTAGTTTGACATTTTCCCTCTCTTTCTTTGTCTCTCTCTCTCTCTAGCAAGTGCACCCATCCTATAGCAAATAGATAGATAGATAGATAGATATAGATAGATAGATAGATAGATAGATAGATAGATAGATAGATAGATAGATATAGATAGATGATAGATAGATAGATAGAAAGATAGATAGATATAGATAGATAGATATAGATAGATGATAGATAGATGATAGATAGAAAGATAGATAGATAGATAGATAGATAGATAGATAGATAGATAGATATAGATAGATGATAGATAGATAGATGATAGATAGAAAGATAGATAGATAGATAGATAGATAGATAGATAGATAGATAGATAGATAGATAGATAGACTTCATTGTATTGTCAAGGTGTTAAGTGACAACTTAATCCTCTCATGGTGTCTTAGCTAGGGTGGGGCCTTTGGGTGTGCTGAGGTCACTGGGGTAGGCCTCTGTGGTTCAGTTCTGGTGAGTTTACAAGAGAAAAAAAAAAAAAACAGAGAAGGCAGAAATGTATGGAGAGTCGCACTGCTCAAGATCCTGCCCTCTGCCATGCTGTAGCCCACAACCCGCACCACCCAAAATTGGCCCTTGTAGTTTGAACCTCCAAACTGTGAGCTGAATAAACCTCTATTTCTTCATAGATGACCCAGTCTGAGGAATTTCTGTTAGCAATTCAATGGCAGACTAAGACAGTTGGTATCTCCTCTGACAGAATGTATCATGTGGGTACTTTTCTACTCATATTTGTTAAATATAATATTTTCCTACAGATAGGAATGTTGAAGCCCAGAGAGGTAAACTGACTTCCCTAAGAGGCACCACCAAACAATGACCACATCGTGACTAAAACTGTTTCCATTAAGACCATCAACAAGTTGTCTAATGATATTGTAGTCACAGGACATCTGTCATGTGGTACTATACGTAATTAATAAGAATCTATTAGTGAATAAAAGAAAACCTTATCTGGGTATTATACTTTGTGGACCATGAAATGTTTTCACAAACATTGTCTCCTATGATGACCACAATAATTATGAGATGGGGCTGTCTTGTTACTATCTTTCACAAGGAAGGTAAAGAAAGTTCAGAGAGCCTAAGTTCTCTCAGTCAGAAAAAGGACGAGTTTGACCTAGAAACCATACTCTTTGATTAGTAGTTCTGTATCTTGTCTGTGGTTGCACTTTTCTAAAAAGGTCAAATTCTGAGATAAAATGTCTATTAGCTGAAGGGCCAGCCCATGGGTTGGTGATTAAAGGAACCTTATCCCAAATGGCTGACCATGTAGTTTGAGTCCTGGACCTGGTAGTTTGAAAACCGTATCAGTTGCATGTGCATGCATTTCCAAAATCCCAAAAGGAGGAGTAAATGGAGGAGAAGGGAAGGCGATCTGACCATGTCCCATGGGGGTGTTTTCTCCTCTCCCTCTCTCTCTGTCCCTGGTTAGTGCATGCACTCTATGGCAAATAAAAAAATAAATTAAAAAAAGATATAAAGCCAAGGAAAGCAAAAGCCTATTCGCTGGGAAAAATGCAAAAACATGTTCAGAATTCAGGATTCAACTGCTTTTGGTTTGCTTTGAATATCAAGTTCAACTGTTTTCAACTGTCAGATATGCTTGAGACTCAGACCTGATTCTTCAGATACAATCATTATAATCACAGATGCCCATGTACACACACACATGCATGGCCATTCAAGCCATCCTGTAGCCAGCTCTGTAGAGCCTTACCTTGTGGTGGGCCAGTTGCTGGGTGATTGTCTCCAGGCTGCTGGTCTCCAGGAGGTCGGGAGCCACCAACCTGCCAGACATCTGCAACAGCCACTTTTCCACCTCTTGGAGCTCACTGTTGTAGTCTTCATGGTCTTTGACTTTCGCCTCCAGACTGAAGACATGCTCCTATAAAACCAGGAGCCTGTTACAGGTCACTTTTAAGTGAAAAACTTACTCAGAACTGGTTTGTACTTAAAACAACAACAAAAACGATGCAACAGGACAGACAGAGTTACTTACATCAGAAAACTACCAAGAATGGCGAAAAATAAGTCATTGTGCCTTTTAAATGCCCACTTAAACAAACAAAAAAAAATACTGACCTATATTAATCCTTAAATTTATCTGACAGAGAGAAAGAATCTGGGGCCGGCATTTAGGCCATTAAATACCTTTATTGAATCTCTGATCTGCCCTTACCTTTCCTGCACTGCAGAGATCCTGGTAATTACTTTGCAGTTTATCTATTTTGTCCTTTAAGGTAACATCCTGTACCAGTTCCAGAAGTGCTTCACCTTTCTCTTTTACTGACTTTACCGCTGGCTCTTGGGACAGCACCATTTGTTGAAGGGACTTGAGTGACAAAGAAGAAAAAGAAATGGCTTATCCACATGAACCAGGTGAACACACACACACACACACACACACACACACCTGTAGTCCACATGAGATGATCCACTTCAAAAAAGATCAAATACATATTTGTGAATCAATACATGTGAAACATTAAACAGAGAATGATGTATTATGGCTAATACACTTTTTAAATACAAAATCAAAGTAACACGCCAGCCCTTCACCTGTGGAGAAGAAAGCATGGAAAATGGTTACAATGAACTCGATTAACATAGCTCCTGTTTTCAGCATCCACCTCATTCTTCTCACAGAGGAAATAAAAAAGTTACCCACATTACTTGCAGGAGCTGAGGCTACTGTCTTGATTTTGAGGTCATGAAGTTAGTTCCAGCCTGAGCTAGATGTAGAGTTAGGGCAAGTTCCAGCGGTAGCCTTGCTGACAGAGGCTAAAAATGCTCATTTTAAATATAACAGGAACTTAGTAAGGGAAAACAGAAGAGGTTGTAATTCTTTTTTTTTGGAGAGGTTTTTTTCACTATAGGGCGCGTGCACTCGCCAGACAGACAGAGAGAGACATAGAGACAGAAAGCGAGAAATCGCCCCCCAGGGGGGATGGTCACGCCACAATCCCTTCTCCTCTATTCTCCTCTCGGGATCTTGGGCACGCACACACACGCGCCCAGAGTGAGTTTTAAGCCACCGGGTCCAGGACGCAAACCGTGGTCGACTACATGGGAGTCCAGCGACATAGCCATTACGCTAACTGCTGGTTCCCAAGAGGTTGTAATTCTCATGTGGCACCTTCAAAGATGAACTATCAGACTTGGCAGAATGGCCACGGAGAGAAATAGACAAATTGGTTAGAGAAGAGACTTGGACAAGCTTCTGACAGGAAAAGCTGTGGGGTAAGTCACCATATCATAACTCCTCTCCATCCTCCCGTTACCACACAGTTACATCGGCGCTTATGTGTACACTAATGCATTACTTTATAATCATTATATTATATTGTAACAATTCTACTTCCAGTTATACAATCACTAGATTGTACATATGTAAAACATAGATTCTTTGGCATGTAATTATACATACTGTGGTATGAAATGTGACTGTTCAGTCTAAGGATACAACGTGTAATGATATATATATATTTTTTTATCTTTTTTTTTTTTTTGGAGAGGTTTTTCGCTATAGGGCGCGTGTGCTCGCCAGACAGAGAGAGACAGAAAGACAGAAAGCGAGAAATCACCCCCCAGGGGGGATGGTCACGCCGCAATCCCATCTCCTCCATTCTCCTCTCGGGATCTTGGACACGCATGCACACGCGCCTGGCATGAGTTTTAAGCCACCGGGTCTGAGACGCGAACCGCGGTCAACTATGTGGGAGTCCAGTGACATAGCCATTACGCTAACTGCTGGTTCCCGACAACGTGTAATGATTAAACCAGGAAAACTAGCATTCCATCATCTTCAGTATTTGTCATTAGTGTTGGAAACATTCAAATTCTTTTTTTTAAAGAACTACCTATTTAATTTTATTTAATTTAATTTAATTTATTATTATTATTATTTTATTTAACCAGAGAGTGAGAAAGCAAGCCATCAGGTCTAGGACTCAAACTGCCATGTGGCCATGTAGGAGTCCAGCACCGTAACCACCATACCACCTACCAACCTCAGCATTCAAACTCTTAAAGACTATCAAGAAGTCATTCAGATAAAACTTGGAAAGCATATTATTCCATTGGTAAGTTTTGATAATCGCTTCAAAAATTTGAGCAAGTGAGACCCAAACTCTGGCACAGGCACAGAAGGTGCAGCAGAGCTGGAAGCCACATACCAACTGCAGTTTGAGTCCCCAGACCAGTCATCCTAAAAATGTCCTTGGTGTGTGTGAATGTGCTCAGAATCCAGATGGGATGGAGGACTGCAAAAGGGGAATTGTGGCATTTCCCAGCACTGTGGGGGGTGCTTCTTTTTCTCTCTCACGTATGCACATGCTCCATCATGAATGAAAAGCAAAATTTAAGCAGATAAAATATCTGTATCTATATCATGTGTAGCCATTCCTATATCACTATTTATTCTTTCAACAGTTAATTTATAAGGAGTTAAGCATGTTTTTAAATTAAAACTTACTTTCTTATAAATACCATACCTCATTTTCAGTTTACAGTAGGTCAGCTTCTGTATCTTAGGCAAAAGATAAAGGGAAGCATCTATTGGGGAAGATAAAATCTATAGGTATGGGATCCTGTTGCCAACTGGATTTACCTGGGCAATCCATATACCTGGATCACTGTTAGAAAAGATTTTCATGTATTTGATATAATCAATAAATTTACTGATATGAATTTTGAATATTAGATCCATTAGTGTAAAAAATATCTCTGACGAGCGTTATTTAGCTGAATACACACAAACCCACATAGGTCATGACATCACTCACTATCACTAGAACAGGTATGTTTGGGATGTTTTTAGCACCCACTGTGGGTGACACATACCAGAAATCATGTCCCTCCTATTTAATCCTACAGGCACCATTAATGAAGCACAATGCACTACCTTGTATTTTGATAATTGAGCTTTTTTCTCATATAATTCCATTTTGGGTTCCTCAGGAACGTGTAGGATTTCCTGGTATTCTGCTATCCACTGGGTCAGTGCTTTCCATTTGTCAGAGAATTCCTTTGCCAAGTGAAGGCCTTTTTCCAGGGTCATGTGCTCTTTCCGGACAGTGCTGGTCAGCTCCTTCAGCTGCTCCACATGGTCATGGAAGTCTTTTCTTAATGTCTCCGCCTCCCCTTCCTCCAAGTATTTCAGGGCTCTCTCTCCTTTTTCCCGGGCCGATTTCAGCAAACTGTGGCCTTTCTCCATGTCTTTTAGTAAAACCTGAGAAAGACAATCAGTAGGAAACAAATAGAGTTAGTCTTAAATAAAGAAAAAACTTTCCTGTTCCATCTTTGAGTCCACCTATTTCCCCTTATGAAACCAGATTTGAACTACCAGGGATTAGGATCCCTCTTTTCTTTATTTCAACACAGGCTTTTAAAGTGTTATCAATAGATCATTTCCAAATATGAGACTTTAAAAAGAGCCTGCTGCTTCTTTCATTTTTAGTAATCACCCTAAAGATGCAAATCAAAAGTCTTTGTTAGCGCCCTACATTTGTGATATATTTTTTTCTCTTAATATTTCAATGCCAAACCAGAATTTAGTGAAGATTTTAGTGGAAGTCATGTGTCAGTCATTCAGATGATAACACATCACAAGGAAGCCAGTCCCTAGCCTGAAAGAGTTTGTAACTTCACACTTGGAGTGAAATGATGATTGAGGATCACCATGTATATCACGCAGGAATGGCCACATGTGGGTCCAATATCTATGCAGGAAAATGAAGGAAGGTTGGGGATCAGCTGAAGTATGTATGCCTACCTCCAATGTCTTCAATTTTTTCCCCATCATTGCTTTATCTACTTTATCAATTTTGGTAGCCACATTCTTGAAGTTTTTATGAGTAGAGCCATACCAATCAGAATAAAAACTGAGAGATAATTCTGATTCATCCAAGCTCTGGATCTCTTCCTCCAGGAATTTTATTTGTTCCTTGAAAGAAAAAGAGAAAAGTGAACAGTGAATGAAGGAGTTGAGCCAGTACCTTTGTTGCTAAATGCATCTTCACTGGAAGTCAATGAAAGGAAGACCGGTCTGGCTCGGGAGGTGTGCTGGTCTGTAACGAGCAGCTGGTGGTCGCTCACCAACACTTGGAGAAGCAGGGCCTGGTATCTGGAAGTCAGCTGGGTGGCCTGGCAGCCCATCCTGCTGCTCACATGGCTCTCCTCCAGGATCTCCTGAGCTCTGGCCCCCACTTCCTCAACCTCATCTCTGTAAGCACTCACTTCTTCATGCCACTTCTGAAATGACATAGGAATTAGAGAGAAAGATGTGATCTTAGCCATTCTCAAATAAGACAACTATGTGTATTTTTAATATAAAACTAGTTCAATGCTTGCTTAGAATATATCCATTTTGAAGTATAATTTTTAAAATATGTAATATGTTACCTTTATGAAAAAGTATATGATGACCATGTCATTGAAACTGTACGAAGGCTGGCCTCACCGTGGAGTGGTTAAGCACTGTGCGAGAGAAGCCACAGGGCTAACTGCAGCCTGAATCCTAGCCCTGGAGGCTTGAAAAACTGCCTGAGCATGTGTGTGCATGACCAGGATCCTGATAGGATGAAGAAATGGAGGAAAGAAGATTGCAGCATGACCACGACCTGTTGGGGGTGCTTCCTTTCTCTCTCTCTCTCTGACATGCACTGCACACACCCTCTGACATAAGAAAAAAGAAAAAAAGAAGAAGAAGAAGAAGATGGAAAAATAATTAAATTATTTTAAATTTAATTTAATTAAAAATAATTCAAGTGACATAAAATTTTATATATTGCTATAAATAGATATAAAATATTTCCATTAAACTACATTCTATCTAAAGCTTGTCTGCAAAATAATTGGCTGTAGAGACAGAGAGAGGGAAAATGAGAAATCATCCCTTTGAGGGATGGCCATGCTCCAATCCCTTTTCCTCAACTCTCCTCTTAGGATACTGAGCATGCACACACATGTGCCCAGAATGATTTTCAAGCCCCGGGTCTGCGACTCGAACTATGATTACCCATGTGAAAGTCCAGTCTGTTAACCACCATGCCACCTGCCAGGCATATTTTAATGTGGCTAGGAATAGCAATAATCCGCTGAGGATTTCATTTCAAAATTTTACATTTTGTTGTTAAATTATTAATCCAGTAGCTTTGTACTGCTAAGTATTTTAATAATTATTTTATTCATTTCAGTAATTCCAGTGTCAAGAGTGTTTTAAAATGTGCGCTCCTTGTCTTAGCAATTGTGAATAGTACCGCAATAAACATCGATGTGCAAGCACTTTTCCGATGAAGAATTCTTCTGTCCTTTGGGTAGATACAAAGGGGTGGGATTGCTGGATCATATGGTAGTCCTATTTGTAAATTTTTGAGGAATCTCTAAATTGTTCTCCACAGTGGCTGGACCAATTTACATTCCCATCAGCAGTGTAAGAGAGTTCCCCTTTCACTACATTCCTGCCAGCACTTACCATTTTTTGTTTTTTTTAATCTTATTCTGACTGGGGTGAGGTGGTATCTCATTGTTGTTTTGATCTGCATTTCTCTTATAATGAGAGATGTTGAGCATTCTTTCATATGCTTTTTGGCTATTCGTATGTCATCTTTAGAAAGTGTTTTTTTAAACTCATTCTCCCATCTTTTAATAGAATTAATCATCTTTTTTCAGAACAGCTGCTTGAGTTCCTTGTGTATTCTGGTTATCAGTCCCTTATCTGACGAATAATTTACAAAAATATTTTCTGAGGGCTGTTGATTCACACTAATTACTGTGTCTTTTGCCCTGCAGAAACTAATACCAGATATAGTGTGTGTGAAAGAGGAGAGTCTGAAGAAGGACATTTAGAAGAAAAATAGAGAGGCTAAGCATTAATGGGACAAAGAAATGTGATATCTGTAGAAGATAACTTTCATAGTTTTATCAACTGGACTAGGGAGCAATGTTAACACGTTGGAATATTTAGTTTGTAAGATAAGTAATGTGATTGAATGTAGAAGAGAAAATGAAATTTTAAAAAATTTTAAATTAAAAAAAAGAAAAAAGAGAAAATTTGCTCCTTGTTATCAATAAATTTAAAAAGTTTTAAAAATACTTAAAAGAAAAAAGATTAGCTGTAAAAAGGAATGCCCCATTGTCATCTACTTTAAATTTCTAGGCAAGCCAAAAGAAACTTCGCAAAATATGTCTTAGATAAAAAGTTACTGAATGTTTTAATGAAACAGACCATGCAAAATAACTGCAGCTTAGACAAAGATCACAAATTTATGGAAGTTGTACCTTCATCTGCTGTAGTTGCATTTCCTTGGTTGCCCGGTTAGACTGACGTCCAGTCCTGAAACTAACTTTCTGCTCCACCGTTCTGAGCCATTCATCTATCTGCTGAAACTTTTGCTCCATCAGCCTCAATTTGTTCACCACGTTATTGAACTGAGTCCGGGTCTCTGACAGCCTGTGCTGGTAGGCCTGCCAGTCCTGCCGGAGAGACTCCAAAGCTCGGTCCTCCGTTTGGGGGATGCCTGATGGGATCACTTCCTCTCTGGTGTGCAGCACCGAATTCAACAGGGCCTGTCCCTCTGCACAGCGCACTTGTAGTTCCTGAAGGGAAAAAAGAATGGCACTCACAGCTCATTCATATTTTATATGTGCATGTGTTAACATGTGTCACCCAAGCCGACTGTGCCATCTTGAATGTCACGCTAGAAAACAATGTTTTGGGACCAGCCTGTGGCATGGTGGTTAAGGCAGCTGCATCCTACGTGGCCATCTGTGCTCGAGTCTTTGACCTGGCATCTTGAGAAACATGCAGATGCGCTCGCATGTGTGTTTAGAATCCTGAAAGGCCCCACAAAGATGTACAAGAGTTAGATGTAAATAAGAAATTATAAAATAAAATAGAAATAATTCCAAAGAGAGAGAGATGGAGAAAGGATTGTGGCATGACCAAATCCCACAGGTGGGAGCTCTCTCACTTTCCTTCTTTCTTTGGTGAATAGATACACCCTCTGAAAAAGTTATGGTGCGCACACACACATACACACACACACACACACACACACACACTACACATATATACACAAAAAAAGGGAAAAAATTATTTTATTCTGCCATACATAAAACATCCATACTTAACACTGAATATTGTTTCTCAAGTCAAGAGAAAGACTGAAATTTCTACAATTTAAATAATTAAATAATTCCAATACATACATACACATTCCTCCAATATTTATCTTAATCAGCTTTTTCTGAAGTTTGGCATTTTAGTTTATAGGAGTAAACAGTCAAAAGGCTATTGTTACAAAGAATAAGCTCGGCTTATTGTTAAGGCCCATCATCTGCTGAGAGGGCCTAAGGCTTCTTGTTTTGGTATTCCATGGGCTCAGTGCTACAATCATGGCTGAGGAAAAAAAAAAAAAATGGACCTTGTTTTTTGCTAAGGAGGAATACTTTGCCAAAGTTGTACCAGAGGAAACCTGGCAGTCAAGAAAAGTTGGCCTGGAGGAGGATGCAGGGCACAGAAACCTGAGGCAGTGGCCTGTCATACCTGCCCACCAGGTACTCCCAGGAACTAATACATTTCCTCTACCGAGTGTCAGCCCCAAAGGTTTACTCCACAGATTCAGTGTTAACCAAATATTGAAGAACATGAACTATTTTTTTAATTACTTATTTTTAAAATTATTTTTATATTATTTAATCACATATATTTTCACAGTGTATAACATGTCTTTTCCAGCACAATTACCATGCATATCAGTCAAGACAAAGATGCTACTATACACAACATCATCAGCAAATAGCTTTTCATTTATAAACTATTTTTTAAGAGAGAGATTTTTGCTATAAGGCACATGTACTCAAAGAAGAGGCAGAGAGACAGAAAGTGAGAAAATGAGAAATCACCCCCTGGGGGGATGGCCACATTGCAATCCCTTCTCCTCCATTCTTCTTTTGGGATTTTGGGCACACAAGTACACTTGCCTGGCCTGAGTTTTAAGTCTCCAGGTCCAGAACTCAAACTATGGTAGACTACATAGAAGTCCAGTGATATAAGCACATTGCTATCTGCTGGTCTCCATAAACTAATTTTTTTAAGAAGTTTAAAAAAACCCAAATACTTAAATCTTTAAAGATGCTATCAATGCAATATTTGATTCTTGTTTTTCTAATGAGTAAAAAATATCCATGCTACAACTTGATCTGACCAACTAAAGTAAAAAGTCAACTAAAATTCCACCAAGAATGTTTGAAGTACCAATATGTCTAGTTAACATAAACTATTGAGAAGAAAATCCTTACTATTGGATCAAACCACTTGAAATGACTAATAGCTGATCATTTTTAATCTACAAAGAGAGCAATCTTACCCAGCTCAAATTAATAGACCCTTTTTCTCAAAATGTGACACCACTCCAAGAATTGCTTATATATATGGAAAGGGAAGAACAATATATGTGGCAAAACATTAGTCAAATGGCCATAGACAAAGGAATTTCATTCTAAAATTCTTAGTTATTTTTCAAAATAATTTTAAATTGGGAAACTTTCCCTGTAACAGCCCTGGAAATAATAGGCTTTGTGAGCCACTGGTCTGCAACTATTACTCTGCCATTGTGTCACTGAGGTTGCCACAGACAATGCATAAATAAGTGACGGTCTGTGTCTCAGTAAACGTGTATTTAAGATACAGACATTCTTAGGGTCAGCAGGTGGAATGGTAGTTAAGGTGTTGTGTCTCAAATAGCCAACTGCCATTCCACTGGCTACATGTGGAAGCATGCCTAAAATCCCAGGAGGAGAATGGAGGATAAGGGATTGCAGTGTGGCCATCCCCCCAGGGGGGTGATTTTTTCACTTTCCCTCTCTCTCTCTTTCTCCAGCAAGTGCATGCACCTTTTGTCAAAAACCTATGAATAAATAAAGTACAGACATTCTGATCATAGGCTGTAGTTTACTCATCTCTATGCTAATCTATTAATCTCCTCAATTTATAACTCTTCATATTTTATAAATAATAGTTTGTCCATTACACAAATCATCATTCCATCAGATAAATTATCATACATCCCATATTTTAAATATTTATTCAGAAGGCAAACATGGTTCAATATTTAAACAAACATATATGCTCTATGACCTAAGGTAGGTCTTCGGTTTATACAATGTAACTCGTGAAGATGGTCAACACTACTGGACAAACCCCAGCTCACCCTGCACGTTGCAGGCCAGGAGGACCTTGAGGAAATTCTGCTGTGTAGTTGGAGCTTAATAATTTTCTACTGCTGTTTTCTGCCACTTGCATCTTCTTCCTTTCTAACATTTGTGGTGACTCAAATATGACAATGTAAGAACTAATGCATGGCAAAACCAAATATTGAAGTTAGGTTTAGACCACATTAAGACCAACTTCTGTGAGATATCTTCCACTGACCACAACAAGAGAAACATCTGCTGGTAATGACTAACTTTTTGACCCAGTTCCTGCATAAAAGCCTCGAGGGCTCTGCATCTGCTGGCCAGGGTGTCTGGAGTGAAGTGCCAGGAAGGATTATTTAGAGAAAACAAAGTCAGCTCTACTCAAATAAGTTAAAAGAGCTAAATCTGGCAGACCAGGACAGCCCGCTGTGTTAAGGCAGAGTGGATGAGATCCTTAAGTAAGCAAACAAGAGCTTGACCCTAACTTCTACTATTTATTTCATGAATAGACTATCTATTTAAATGTCTTTTTCCATCTCAGTCCTCACATGAACTCTGTGGAGGATACTGAGTCAGAGAAGTTTTCCTTGGTCTGAAGCCACCTACTTGCCAGGTCCCATCAAGGATTAGGGTCCAAACTTCCTAATCCAAACCTTGCTATCTTCCCATTATATGATACTTACAAAATCTACCAGAAATAGCCAGGAATTGTATAGATCAATGATAAGAATGACAATCCCCTCTTTTTCTACCTTCTTTAAGCTTTCAGTGCATCTTTCTCAATCCAGAGCCTGCTCTCATCAGGGATGATCACATGAAAGTAAATTTCAACACGGCACAGGTGTGGCATGGGATGGTCTTGTTGGCCTTTCTCCATTCTCTGCTGTACATGCCTGGTGGCTCCTTCTGAGGGAACCCCCTCACCCTTGAAATCCCTGGAGGTAAGATTAAGGGCTCCTCTTTGACACTACCTAGGACCTCTTACCTTATTCTATTACTGCTTTCATTTCACTAGATTTGTGCTTCTCCCTAGATAGCAAGTTCCTTTAAGGTGGAAAATGTATCTCAAACATCTTTCTTACAGTAGCTGACTAGGGTGTCTGCACTGCATTAAGAATTCAGTCAATGCTGAAGGGGTAAATAAATGAACAATTTACAACCGCTTTTCCTCTATATGTGATGTCTCATCCACACTGGAGTCTGCTGGTCTGATCACCAATGGTTTTAATAGCTCCTCTAATGTCTTCTTCTAGAATTCTGACCCTGGGCACATATCTTCATCAAAGAGAGAAGTTCTGGTTGAACTCAGATGACCCAGTAGTTTTATATTCTATTCATCTCTGCTGCTGTATCTCAGGTCTCATTCAATCCTTTAGGGAGCAACAGGTAGGTGCTCCAGTCAACATCATAAAACCAATGGGATTCCTGATCTTTTTACCACCTGAACCAATTTCATGAAAGACAACTTTCCAGAGTGAGGAGTTATAGGGAGAGGGGATAATTTCAGAATGATTTAAGTGTATTACATTTATTGTGCACTTTATTTCTATTATTTTCATATGGAAACATATAATGAGATAATTATATGAATCATTATAATGCAGAATCAGTGGGAGTCCTTAGCTTGTTTTCCTGCACCTAGAGGCTTGTTTTTTTTTATTCACTTTGACTTGAGTTAGCTTGCAGCCTTACCAAAACTGTGACAGACAACTGAGGAGTGCCGGACAGAGGTACAGATAGAAGTGGTAAATAAAATAATGGTCAGACCATGCACAGACTTAAACAGATGTCAGATTCTGGCTTATAGCCTGTCACCAGGTGCAGCTCTACAAGTGAAGTACATAAACTCATGCCACTATAAAGACTGCCACCAGGAGCAGTTTAATCATCACTTGCTACTTATTGATAAAGTTTTGATATGAGTCTACAAGCAATTGATTTATTACAATCTCTGTGCAGTCAAACCTCTCTGCTAATGCTAATCCCCAGTGCTAGCATCACCGCCTCAGCTCCACCTCAGATCATCAGGCATTAGATTCTCATAAGGGGTGTGCAACCTTGGGCCCTTGCATGCTCAGTTTACAATATGGCTCATATACTCCTATGAGAATCTAAAGCTGTCACTGAGCTGACAGGAGGTAATGAAGCTTCAGACGAAGTTGTGCTTGTTCACTCACAACTCACCTACTGCTGGGCAGCCCAATTCCTAACAGGTCACAGACTGGTATCAGACAATGGCCCAAGGATTGTGTGTGGGGACACGTTTAAGAGAGAGAGTCTGAGGGGACATGCGCCGAGCAAACACCACATGCTCTTTTGGGGTTTGGCAGAACCTTGTAACTTGTCTTTCCCTGACCTTGGCTGCAGACAGAGCAAGGGTGGAAATTACTAGGGGCGTTCCAACAGACACATCTGATGGACTTCAAGAAACATCTTGACCCCAAATAGTAAAATCCAATCCCTGCTCTGCATCTGAAAGGTTCTTTAGACTTCTCTGGGTGTGGTGGTGCTCTCCTTATGGAGAAGTTCTTTAGCTCCTTCCCCACACCTAACAGCTAGTTCTCTGCATTAGAAAGGAAGATGAGATTTACTCTAGATGGGATTACCACCAAGGGATACACCATGCCCCTGGTATGACTAATCTCTTATTTGTTAACTGCTTCTTATTGTCTGTTACCTGGCAACCAATCCATGAAGTATCATGAAACGTACATGTGTAAGGTCTCCTTGTACTATAAACAAAGACGTCCAGTTGTCTGGGCGGCACAAGTTGCTTGGGCTACCTAGGCTCAGGCTGCCTGTGTCCCTTTCTACTCTAACCCTTTGTCTCATTCTTTCCAATTCCCCGGTCCTGGCAAGATGGAGGGCTTTCTCTTTCTCGTCCTCTTTCTCTTCCTCAGCAGCAGCCCTCTGATCATGATTCAGCCAGACCCAAGCCCTGGGGCGGACGCCAACAATTGTGGACCTCTGAGTTAGATTACTAGCCATTCTTATCAGGGGCCACATAGCAGCTGAATGAGTTCCCCAAGTACGAGTCCTGCCTGTCCTAAGTGGTTCTCAACAAGCATGTATTACTGAGGTTGCAGAATGCTCTAGATCAAACCTTACTAGTGTTGCACTTAATATGTGCCAGTCATCTATGGACTTTAAGAGCATATGAACTTCTTGTTGCTTGAAATAATGATTCCACATTCAGAATGACAATTCTTTTGCTTTGGGATAAAGCACATTTTACCTGGAGATCCCGCAGTGTTGACTCATGGGTATGGGGATCACCTTCAAGCACTGAGTGTCGGTCAAGCTGTTCTTGCTCTTGCCCCAGCCAAACTTCAAAGGCCGTTAGGTCTCTCTGGTACTCTTGGTGCAGGCGAACCAGTTTTTCAGTCTTGGTTACAGCTTCCTGTAATTAGTATTTAAAATAATTGAGATAACAATACATTATTACATATAGTGTCAATGTGCTCTAAGAATTCACTTTAAAACTTTTAGAAAAGCTGGACCAGCCCCATAGCACAGCAGTTAAGCCCAATATATAGGGGGCTGGATCTCACATGACTGATAACAGTGGAGGTCTTAGTCCCTGCAGCTTGAGTGTGTGTGTGTGCCTGCCCCAAATCCTGGTGGGATAGAGATAGAGGAAAAGGAAATAAGGTGTGACCACAGTGCATTGGGGGATGCGAACACTCTCTCTCTTCCTGATGAGTAAGTGATGAAAAAACACAAAATTATAAAAGCATGATGATTATATCATTGGAACATAAGTGATTTCTTAAAAGAATAATGTAAATGTATAAAAATTTAATGTTTCAAGATTTAAAATAGTTTTTAAAATAATTGTTAAGGGCCCATAGGTGGTATGGTGGTTAAGGAACTGGATTCTCAGACCAGCAGATAGCAAAATGGCTACATAACTGGACTCCCACATGGCCAACTGTGGTTTGAGTCCCAGACCCAGCGGCGTGAAATTCATGCCAGGTGTGTGTGCTTGCGTGCCCAAAAATCCCAAGCAGTGACTAAAGAAGAAGGGATTTAGTCTTTCTTTAAAAAAAAAAGGTGGATCCCACCTGGCCAGCTTCATAGTTCAAGTCCCAGACCCAGCAGCTAGAAAATCACATTGGACACACATGTGTGTATGCCCAAAAATCCCAGGAGGAGAATGGCAAAGAAGGGACTGGAACATGGTCATTTATCCTGGGGGGTGATTTCTCACTTTCTCTCTCTCTCTGCTATTTCTCTCTGGTGAGTGCACATGCCCTGGAGCAAAAATTAAATAATAATAATAATTGTTAAACGTGCACAACATAATACCATGTTCAATGCTGGAGAAGATGAGTATGTGATTACAACACACTGTGTGCCTGACTTAGAAGAAATTCTGTTGCCAACTCCCAAAATATTGAAATATGTAAATTACAATATAACTAATAAAAATTACAGAATATTTTTGATTGTTTAGTTTTTGCTGTAGGGTATGTGTGCTTGCTGAAAGAGACAGAGACAGAGGGAAAGTGAGAAGTCAGCCCCCAGAGGGGATGACTACACCACACTGCAATCTCTTCTCCATTTACCACTTGGGACTCTAAACACACATGCCCAGCGTGATTCTCAAGTGGCTGGATCTGGACTTGAACTATGAAGTAAGACATGTGAGATCCAGTCACCTTAATCTTTATGCCACCAGCTGGCACCAATAACATAGTTTTTAATCATTTTGTTAAATTACCAGATACTTGATTTCCCTCTTAAATATAACATAGACAAGAAAATACTTTTTTATTTCTTTGCATAAAAATTCACTTTTGCTAGTGAAGAATACTGAAATTTGCAAATGTCCCTTACATGAGCATTTAGACTTACTGTAGATTTAATTTTCCCTGTATTCTGTCTGATAATACAGGATGTGGTCTGAAAAAGTACTAAGCTGTTATTTTCTCTGGGAGGCCCTGATGAAGACTGGAAATCTTGGTGATTATTTCTTACATTAGAAAACTGTCACCACTCGACATCATAAGGCATTTATGAGTCTTCATTATGACACTGTCCAGAATTTTTGCTAAATTGGTAAATTTCTAGGAATTTTTGAGGGTTATTTTACTTTAGTAAAACGACTTTTACTTTCAAATTCCGGCAATATTTAAAAGTTTTTGTTTGGTTTTGTCAGTGACACCTTTAAAATAGTAAAATTTATTTTGCTTCTTTCATTCTATGTTTCCTCAAGCCAGTCAATATGGAAAATAATGGGTCTTTTAAGCACAGCTTGAACACTCCTCCCAGGGCTGGCCTATGAGGAAAATGGGCAGCCATACCTGTGCCCTGTCTTTGATGGCTCTGTACCGCTCCTGCAGATCCTGTAGCTCCAGCTGGGTGACATAATGTTCCGTCATGCCTGCCCTTTTGGCTTCAATGGTCTCCAGCAAGCTGCTGTGACTCAGCACCTCTTCATTTAATAACTAAAGAAAAATTAAAAAAAAAGTTATTCAGACACTATTATATCAATGATCTTGCTAAAATTAAGGTTATTTTAACTGTGTGGTTGACAAGTGACCTTAGGTGATCTATCCATCCATACATACATGTATCTCTGATTAGATACATGCATGAATGTATAAATGTGTGTGTGTATGAGTGTACACACATATGCTTGTGTGTATGTGTGTATGTGCACATACACACACATGCACACACACACACACACACACACACACACACACATTTGTTACCTGGTCCAAAACTTACTTTAAGCATCAATTCCCTATTAACCACCTTATATTGCGACTTGGATATCTCAAATGTATCATGCCCAGAAATGAGCTGTCGATTTCTGTTCTACCTCCAATCCCTACCATACTCCCTTCTCATTTGGTCTTTTTGCAGATAGTAAATGCCACTATCTCCCACCCAGAAGTCAAGCACTGGACATGTTACAATCTTTATTGGCCCTTTTCCAAATACTATCCTTCACACCATGCCATTTTTCTCCTTCAAAGCACCTAGCAGTTGTAATTATTTATTTATTCATGCACTTATTACTGAGTACATGTGTCCCTACCAGATCATAGCACTTGTCTATTTTATCCACCTAGAATCAGGCCCTATACATACGTGTATGACTTCTCAATAAATACTTAATTAATTATTTTGATTAATTAGACAATTACTTTTTATAAGAGATAATGATGAAACATAATTATGATGATACTATTTACAGATGCATAAATGAGACCAGAAATATAAAGAGGCGCAGCTTTTTACTCAGCATCTGCTTTGTGTCAGAGAGCCAAGAGAATGGCATAGGAAGAAAACTAAGCCTCTCTACGCATGGAACGGACATATGCCATACAGAGCTACGAACAGAGAGCTACGAGAGAACAGAACAAGCAATTAAGCCTAGGTTGTTGTTGGTGGTATCATAGCAAAAGTGACTTCTGAACTAATTTAGAAAGGTGTGTAGGTGAGTACCAGGTGCAGAGACATAGCAAGGACATTCTGTGAGAAGGGAAGGGCATGGAATCTTCCAAGACTGCAGCGTGATTACAAAATAGTGTGAGATTCATCCAGGTTGGAGCCTGGGTAGGAGAAGGTGAGAGAGTGAAGGAAATGAGATGGCATTACAATACTTTCCATGGAGAACAATTTGGAGATTCCTCAAAAATCTGGAAATAGTACTACCATATGATTCAGCAGTCTCACTCCTTGATACCTACCCAAAGGACAGAAGAGTACTTAACTGAATAAGTGCTTGCACATCGATGTTTATTGTAGCACTATTCACAATTGCTAAGGCATGGCACCAACCCAAATTCCCATGAACAGATGAATGGATAGAAAAATCATGGCACATATACTTTATGGAATACTATTCAGCCATTAAAAAAAACCCTGGTTTTTGACAGAAAGTGGGAGAATATGGAAGATTTACTGCTAAGTGAAGCAAGGCAGGCTATGAAGGAGAGATATTATATGTCCCCACTTAATATATACTGAGTGTCCGCACTCTGTGGCTGAAGGTAATTGACTAAATGTTATAGAAACACAGTATACGGATAGAAATACCAGATACAGTGTGTGTGAAAGAGTATTGTCTGAGGAAGGACATTTAGAAGAAAAATAGGGAGGCAAAGCATTAGTGGGACAAAGAAATATAGTATTATCTGTTCAAGATATTTTATAGTTTTTTTCAACTGGACTAGGGAGGAATGTTCAACTATTGAAATATTCACTTTGTAAGCTAAATAATGTGATTGAATGTATAAAAGAAAATGAGGTAAAAATATATAAGTAAATAAAAATATGTAAACAAACAAAGAAACAAACATAAACCACAATACTTTCAAACCAAGTGAGATTGATAATATATAATAGACTATGGGAAACCAACAGAGGCTCTTAAGCAGGGAGGTAAGACATTTAGCTTTATATGAAGATAACAACAGATGAAGACAAGAAACAAAGTGAGAAATTAGGAGTCTGTTACAATTCAGGTGGAGAAGATAAGTCATCAGGACCTAGCGCCTGACATAAAGTGGGGAAGAGAAAGAAGGTGCTGGGGATAATGAGGTTTCCAATTTATTATGTTCTTTGGAGGATGACCCAAATGAACAGAAACGAGATTTCTATACAAATTCATAAATTCTGCATAGGGCATGGTAAAGGTGAGAAGTAACAGGCCATCCAGTAATGATGCCCTAGAGAGTAAGGCTTCAGCTATAAATCGAAGATTTACAAAACTTTGTTTGAATACTACCAATAAAAGCACTGAAGAGCATATTGTTAATATTTTTAATTTTAATACCCCTTACATGTAGTACTATGCTAATTTTAAAATGCACAAAAGCTGTAATATGAAAGATATGATTAAAAAGAATGTTGCTTCCTAATGATGAGAAGACTAGAGACATTAAAAAATACTGTAAGTTACCAAACATTACATGGTTTCCTTTATAAAACATGGGTTTACATGAATATCTTGGAAGGCAAAATTTTCACTCACTAATAAAATAACCACTAATCAAAGTCTGGTTTAAGTTGTTATTAGAAATTATAATATAACCCACAAATGTAATTCACTCAGATTTACAGTCCTAGCATACAGGTAATTAACTTTTGTCTGACCAGAGCATTCTTTTTCTTTTTATTTTTAAGAGAGATTTTTGCTATAGGGCATGTGAGCTCACTGAGAGAGACAGAGACAGAAAGTGAGAAATCACTCCCCAAGGGGGATGGCCATGCCACAATTCCTTCTCCTCCATTCTCCTCTCAGGAGGATCTTAGACATGCACTCAAGCCCTGTGTGTTTTAAGCTGCCAGGTCCAGAGCTCGAACCACAGTTGACTACATGAGAGTCCAGAGATGTAACCATTATGCCATCTGCTGGTCCCCTGACCAGAGCATTCTAAGAATGCCCATTGTAGAGCAAATGAAAGCCACCCTCCAGCTCTAACCTTAGCTTTCCCAAGAGCAGTTATTTTGTCCCGTAGTTCTGCATGCTGCCTTTCAGATCCATTCAGGCTGGCCTCGACACCGTCCATCCAACTGGAAAACTGGCGGACATCATCCTGATAACTTGTCCATTTAGAAAGAGCTCCTTCAAGTTGACTGAAAGAGATTGAGAAGGACAAGAATTTATATGGAGAATCGTTATGAACTCGATATCTGTCATTGTATCTTCTCTGCTCATTCCAGCCAGCACGGAGTCCAGGGATCAGGATGAGGGCAAGCTTGAGAGAGGCAGACTGGCCACGGTTTCCAAATCCGAGTGTAGGCTTCTGGCAAGGGCAGCTTCAGGAAACCAGGGACCATTAAATACAGGCTGAAGGACAGGAAAGTGGGATTGGATACAAACCCAAAGGCCAGTAACCAGGGCACACAAGACCCTTACAAGGTTGAAGGTAAAATGCAGAGAAATGTCCTGAGTAGAGCCAAAGCTCTGAACAGAAAGAGAACCAACACTAACTAGGTCAATTAAGCAGGACTTCGGAACAGGAGAGAGAGAGAGAGAGGAATTATAAAGAGAAGGAAAGCAGACTCAAGGGAGAGCGAGCACATTAGCTATCTTGCATGAGATTTAAAAATCAGAAAGATCACAATGGAGACATACAATAACATTTCCTGAATTGGTGGTCTAAATATTAAAGCTTAGTTATTTCTCTTAGAAATAAATTACTCACTGTGCTGTCTTAATATACATGCTATGCTTTATTTCCTTTACTCATGTGTGCCTAATGTTACCACCATGTTTCAAGTCCTCTGGCAGCAGACAATGTCAGTCCCCTCCCCCACAAGTGTTCCCTCAGGTCATGCTACTGTAACACACTGCCACCTGGATGTCCAACTGTCTGCTCTGCATTCTCTTAGTCTAAGGACATTCTCTGATCCCTGTTATACTTTCAGTTTGAGAAAATGCATGCAAAAAATACTGGGGGCTGTCACCAACTGGGAACAGCTCTCAACAGTCTTTCACAGGCACATGAACTTGTTGCAAATTCTCAGTGCCCCTGCCCTTTCTTGGCCAGCAGTGCCCAAGAATAGTGCTTCCAGTTACCCACTATGGTAACTGGTAATACACCCTTTCATGCTGTCCCCCAAGTTCCTTGTCTCCCTTCTCCACTCCAGTATTGGTATATCCTGGGGTTATCTCCCAGGATAAAAAAAGTAGTTAAACTACTTGATTTAAATCAGTATATCTTTACACTCAGAAATGATTATCTTTTAACTTTTAAGCAGTGAACAACAACAAAAACACACATTTTTAATTATATTAAAGTATAATTTTAATTATAATAAAGCAAGTCAACCTAAAAGCAAGAATATGCCCAACAGTTTCTTTTATTCTAATAATAAAAAAGAAATAATGAAAGAAAAAGAAAGGAAGCCAGCAGGCAACATGGAGGTTAAGGTAGCTGGATCCCACATGGTTGACTACATGGTTTGAGACCTGAACCCAGTGGTTTGAAAAACAGACTAGGTGTATGTGTTTGCATGCCCAAAATCCTGAGAGGAGAATAGAGGAGACATCATCCCCTTTCTTATTTTCTCCCCTTCTCTCTGGCGAGCACATATGCCAAACCGCAAACTTACATAAGAGAAGACGAAAGGTAGGAAGGAGGGGGAGAAAGAAAGAACTCTAAGAATAATCCATTACTGGAGTAGTGTGTTGATCTTTTAGTAATGGCTTGCCAGTGCTGGGCAGTAGTCTTACTTACTTTTTTCCTAAATTTTTTTAGTATATTTTATACATTCAATCACTATATGTCACTTAGCTTGTAAAGTGAAATTACCCAACATGAGTATACTTCATACCAGTCCAGCTGAGGATACTATACACATCATCATCGACAGGTAATAGTCCATTTCTGTGTCCCATAAATGCCTTGCCTCTCTATTTTTCTCCTTAGTTGCTTTCTTCACACTCTTCCCCTCCCTCCCATCCTATTCCCACACTGCCTCCTTACCTTTTACAGCGAATCCCTGCAGACAGAAGGGCCGCCCACATATCCTTCACACTCTGCAGCTGCTGCTGAACAGCAGGGGTGCCCTCAGGAGAGGTGTTTTGAAGGACACATTCTCCCCTGGTCACTATCATTTTCATCTGAATCTCTTTTTCCTGTTTCACAGATAATAGTGCCTGGGAAAACAAAGATAGAAGTCCTGTATCACTTGCATGTTCAGCATTTCTGGCTTTAACTTTAGAGCCCCTGAAGAAAACAGAATGTATGTAGCTGTGTTACATACATTCAGAAATAATTATCTTTTAATTTTTAAGCCATAAACAACAATAAAAATATACATTTTCAATTATATTAAAATGTATGGATAGTAAGGCAAGTCAACCTAAAAGTAAGACTATACCCAACACTTCCTTTCATTCTAATAATAAAAGAGAAATAATGAAAGAAAAAGAAGGGGGGACAGCCGGTGACATGGAGGTTAAGGTGACTGGATCCTTCAGAGCTCCAGGCTTCTGAGGTATACGATGGGAAGTTCTCTGCGGGTGCGTGTCAGGAACCAGTTACCTCCCACCTGCTAGTCTCTGAGTGGTGTTGGCTTTGTAGGTCTAGAATCTTCTCTGAATCTCCCTAGAATCTTCCCTTCCCCTTACTGGTTTTAACAAGAGAAAAATACATTTCAATGGAATTTGTTAATTCTCAAAGGTTACCTGATGAAGATCTTAGAAATGTTCAGGTCTCTAGCATGACAAACCTAGATTTGTAGATGATACAGTGAAGTTCTCATAAGCACTATTCTTTCACCACATGAGAAGGAAGTTTCAACTCAAAGCTACAAAGCTAGGAGTATGACCTTGGTTGACTACATGGTTTGAGACCTGAACCCAGTGGTTTGAAAAACAGACTAGGTGTATGTGTTTGCATGCCCAAAATCCTGAGAGGAGAATAGAGGAGACATCATCCCCTTTCTTATTTTCTCCCCTTCTCTCTGGCGAGCACATATGCCAAACCGCAAACTTACATAAGAGAAGACGAAAGGTAGGAAGGAGGGGGAGAAAGAAAGAACTCTAAGAATAATCCATTACTGGAGTAGTGTGTTGATCTTTTAGTAATGGCTTGCCAGTGCTGGGCAGTAGTCTTACTTACTTTTTTCCTAAATTTTTTTAGTATATTTTATACATTCAATCACTATATGTCACTTAGCTTGTAAAGTGAAATTACCCAACATGAGTATACTTCATACCAGTCCAGCTGAGGATACTATACACATCATCATCGACAGGTAATAGTCCATTTCTGTGTCCCATAAATGCCTTGCCTCTCTATTTTTCTCCTTAGTTGCTTTCTTCACACTCTTCCCCTCCCTCCCATCCTATTCCCACACTGCCTCCTTACCTTTTACAGCGAATCCCTGCAGACAGAAGGGCCGCCCACATATCCTTCACACTCTGCAGCTGCTGCTGAACAGCAGGGGTGCCCTCAGGAGAGGTGTTTTGAAGGACACATTCTCCCCTGGTCACTATCATTTTCATCTGAATCTCTTTTTCCTGTTTCACAGATAATAGTGCCTGGGAAAACAAAGATAGAAGTCCTGTATCACTTGCATGTTCAGCATTTCTGGCTTTAACTTTAGAGCCCCTGAAGAAAACAGAATGTATGTAGCTGTGTTACATACATTCAGAAATAATTATCTTTTAATTTTTAAGCCATAAACAACAATAAAAATATACATTTTCAATTATATTAAAATGTATGGATAGTAAGGCAAGTCAACCTAAAAGTAAGACTATACCCAACACTTCCTTTCATTCTAATAATAAAAGAGAAATAATGAAAGAAAAAGAAGGGGGGACAGCCGGTGACATGGAGGTTAAGGTGACTGGATCCTTCAGAGCTCCAGGCTTCTGAGGTATACGATGGGAAGTTCTCTGCGGGTGCGTGTCAGGAACCAGTTACCTCCCACCTGCTAGTCTCTGAGTGGTGTTGGCTTTGTAGGTCTAGAATCTTCTCTGAATCTCCCTAGAATCTTCCCTTCCCCTTACTGGTTTTAACAAGAGAAAAATACATTTCAATGGAATTTGTTAATTCTCAAAGGTTACCTGATGAAGATCTTAGAAATGTTCAGGTCTCTAGCATGACAAACCTAGATTTGTAGATGATACAGTGAAGTTCTCATAAGCACTATTCTTTCACCACATGAGAAGGAAGTTTCAACTCAAAGCTACAAAGCTAGGAGTATGACCTAGAGGACAAACCTCCCTCTCTCTTTCCACTCTGGATCTCTATAGCCTCAGTTCTGTTACTTATTGTGTAATTTTTTACATACCATGCTGATTCTTTCCTTTGAATTTTGCTCATACTTTTCCCTTCCCTTGTACCATTCTCAAATCTCCACCCAGTCATTTTTGCTGAAATAGCTCCATCATTCTCAAAGATTTGGTTTAGGTATTAGACTTTCAGAGCATCTAGCCCCCTCTATCAACCCCAATTCTCCTGCTCAATCCCCTCTGTGTGTCTATTACATCCCTAAGTGTATCTCCACCTGTTATTGTTGTCATCTGTATTTCTACCTCCAACCTCAGACCATGACATTCTTGAGGACAAAGGCCATATTTTATTTGCCTTTGATTCCTGGGTGTCATGACGGAGTGCCAATCTGTCAGAGGCACCCAGACTATAAACAAATACAGATTAATAATTTTAACCACAAATACAAACTAAAGCTAATATCTTGGGATGGGAGAAAAATTGACTGAGACGGACATATAAGTGAGTTGAAAAGATAAGAAATACTTAGACCTATAAAATGTTTCATCAAAATGTTTTCTTGGGCTAGATGGTGGCACAGGAATAAGTCAACTTGATTCACATGGAAAAGGTGCTGGGTTTGCTTTGTGGGATTTTCCTGAGCGTGCCAGGCACACCTGCATATGCCCATGCTCAGAGCTTGGTGAGGCTGGCGGCTGACTGTGGAATGTGTATCCTTTGGGGTACCTATCTCCCTCTCTTTCTCACTCTGTCAGAAGAACTGTAAACATTTTTTCTCAGAATAAATGTGTGTGATATAATTTGCCTCCTAAACTACTAAGCAAGTAACCACAACTGGGTTTTATTTTATTTTACTTTTTGTAGAACATTTATGAGTGAGTGTGTCTGGGGTCAAATGACTCAGGGATGTCTAGGCACGCCCATCCTATGCAACCGCGGTCATACCAACAATGCATTTGGAGATTTCTCTTAGGCAGAGCATGATTTAATCATGCCAGACAGACAGTGGCTGGAGAAATTTTGAGAAAAACAAATGATGTAAATAAGAGATCTTTTTCTCCAACAATGCATACCTCAAGCTTGAGCATCCTGCTGTCCAGCACACTCTTGTCTGACGTTGGGTGGCAGTAAGATTCCAGCATATGAACTGCATCTGTCATCCAGTCCTGTAGCTCTTTAATCCCAAGGGAGAGCTGATTGTGTTCTGCGACAATTCTATCCAATCTTGACACTTTCTCCTGGAGATGATAGAAATGGTTTTCTAGCTGTCTGTTCCACAGAAACCCCACAACCTGCAGCTCCTCAAATTGTTAAGTGAACTGTCTGACACAAGTCTGTACTAATTCTGTGAGATATATGAAACATCTTTCTAAATAGCAAAAAATATTAGACTTGGGTCAAAAATCAGAGCAATTAAAATTTACTGCTTAGCTTTCAACTTCATCACTATACTTATGATAACCATATTTATTTTAGAAAATCAGTAAAATTTCTTCCTAGTGCTTTGTATGGGAGACTAATCGAAGTATTTTTTGACTTTCACATATCACAGTTGACTCAACTGATACTATGTCCTACATAGCCTACCCTGTAGCCAGAGTCTTACAAAATTATAATCTGAGATTTTATAATGTCCTTACATTTGAAGAGTTGAGATCATCCATGAGATTTTGCTTATTAATTATAGGTCACATCCAACACAGTGAAGACTTCATAAAAATAGTCTACATTTTTAAAGCATACAAATAGCTGCCACTGTTTAGAATCTAAGCAAATTTAAAGGAATGAAAAGATATCCTTAATTATTTCTAGTTTCAGGTATGTACCAGATCTTACAAAGATTAAAAAAAAGTAATTTGCTCATAGAATAAACATGGGTCTAAGGCCAGGCTGTGGCATGGTGGCTAAACTGGTTAGATCCCACATGGTCAACTGCACAGTTTGAGTCTTGGACTTGGTGGCTTGAGAAACACACCAAGCACCTGTCATGCATGCCCAAAATCTTGAAAGGAAGGAGAAATGGAGGAGAATGGCTTGCGTACGGTACGGCTATTCCTCATGGGAGATGCTTTCTTAATTTCCCCCTCTCTGTCTTTCTGGCCAGTACGCATGCCCTCTGTCAGAATTAAAAATAATAAAGGAATAAACATGGGTCTAAACATAGGTTATTTACTCTATGACTCATACTATTAATAGTATAACTCAACTCCCTTAATGTTTTTTGAAGACTCTAATTTGCAGACCAGAAGTCCATACTACAATAGGTGAGACCAAGTAACAAAACAAAACAAAACAACAAAATTACAATAGGCCCCTACATTATAACATTCAAAAATTTAAAATATATGAAACAAATATCACAAACCAGATAAAGCTCAAGATAGGCCTACACCACAAAGTTTACAAAGAGTCTGCATTACACTAACTGAATGCTCTAACTGAGGTCCTGGTGGGGTTCCATTTGTGTTCTTCTAAGCCACTGGAAAGAGATTCAATCAGTTGTATGAATCATTGCCAGTTTTTAGTTCTGTTCTCACATCTAAACTAAAATTCTCAGTCCACACATCCTTGATTACTATATAATAAAGATAAGAAATTTAGACAAATAAAAAAATTTATCCAAAACACATTATATTTAGTCTAATAAAATGTAAACTGCTTTGAATTCATGTTTTTTCTAAAGTAATTCAATCTGAGAGTCTTTTGCTTTGAGTCTTCCAAATCAAAGTCTGGGGAACCTATCATTTCAGTATTAAAAGGAATATTTTGTGCAATAATAGAGACTGAAAAATCTCTTCAATTATTGGAACCTCCTGCTCTTTTCAGGGAACCACATTAGGATGCTGCAACCCAAGGGATTAATTTGAATTGCAAGGCTGGGGAAATAGCATGTGTTCACATCCTGGCCAGCCAGGAGACACCACACTGTGGGCACATCAGGAGGGATGCCCAACACAACCTACCGCCACTGCAGTTTTGCCACATAAGAATCACACACACACACACACAGCACGTGCCAGGCACCAATTACCTTGGTTAAATTGCTTAGCGCTAGATACTGAGCAGACAGCTGCGACACTCTGTGCATAAAGCTCTTGCTGGCAGCTTGTCCTTCCCACAGCTGCTGAGCTTTCTCTTTCAGCCTGTTGAGCTGAGGCTCGTAACAGTGTATTTCCTCAAGGACAGACTGAAAAGCACAAGCAAGTTACTATTTAGAGGCTGGGGGGAAGCACATCACGGATGAAGCGTTGGCCCAGAGAACATGGAAATCAACATTGGCAAGCAATCGGTATGCCCTGGAGGCTTTATTATTCCCAAGCTACACACACGGGAGCGCTACAGGAAGAAAACAAACCATATCATAAAGGAAAGTCAGAAAACAAACCATCCATGAAAAATGGGGAAAGGAAACGTGTAACTCAAAGCAGCGTAATCTAACTCCATACTGGCATGCATCTGACTGCTCACTGGTACAGAGGACGGGGTAGGATGTGGTCGGATGGGGCGAGAGCCTCATCACCTGGAGTTTCTGCTGCTCCCTCCTCTTCGCTGGCAGATCATAGAGGCGGTTGCTGCTGTCATGCACCATCTTCTCTGTCTTACTCAGCCAGTCTTGCACAGGCTCGGCACTTACTTCAAAGTCCTTCATTTGGATCTTTAGATTCTATAAGATTTACATAGTGTCAAGGACAAAAATAATTTTTTTTTTTTAATAGCAAGTCCAGACTCCTTCACTTGGCATTTGAAGTCCATCTTTAGCTGGCCCCACTGTCTCCCTCCCCTTCTTTCTGTTTACTAAATGTCTGGGATACTCCATCCTTCATCTCGAAACCTATATACCATTTCAGCAGTCTTTAAGAACCTTTTGTGGCTCTACTTTATCAAATATATTTCACCCCCATAACTTTCCAGCCCATCTCAGAGATCACATGCATTTCTCAACCTCTAGTGCACTTGTTGCTTATACCGTTGCCTGTATACTTTTTCATGAACTGGGTGGGACTGTCAATTTTCATCTGATGCAGGCACACCTCGTTTGCACAACTAGATTATGAGCTCCATGAGGGCAGGGTTTGTGTTCTATACTTCCTGGGACCCACCGTGGTACCTTGTAGGAATATAAATATTAATAAAATTTTGTTGATTTTGATAAATGATAGGACAAGAAGCAACATGTACATATATATATATATATATATATGTGTGTGTGTGTGTGTGTGTGTGTATATATATATATATATGCTACACATATAAGAACACATATATATATGTTTACATGCTTAATATGTTTTTAATAAATAGCTTATTCTGATTTATAAAGAAACAAGAAATATCAAATAGTGTCATGTGTCTACTAGCTAAGAATCTTGTTAATACTTTCATAGATACTGTGGGTATGACTAGCTGTAAAACGTATTTGACAAGGTTTTATATGGTACCATTTTATGGCAGCGAAGGTGTCTCAATCTACTGTCTGCTACTTATGACAGTCAAGATTGCTGTGAATTTGTTATTTATGTTACCATATGAACCAGCTAAAGGATTTAAAATTAGTCAGCTCTTCAGGCAGGTCTGTCCAAGAGCAAGTTCATAAAGGCCAGTACAAAGATATCAGTGGCAGATACACACAGGGTCTATAGAAAAAGCTTGAGGTTCTAGGTCCATGATACTTACAAAGAGGGCATAATCATGTCTGCCATGGTCACTTCTGAGGCAGAAAAGTTAGCTATTAAAATGCTTTAGAAAGTTTAAAACACCCTTTGCATGTAAGATGCCATAGCCAGCCCCATAGCCTAGTGTTTAAGGAAGTCAGATGCCACATGGTTGACTACACATGAAATAGCAAGAGTCATTATGTCCCATCCTAAGGAAAACTGTATCTGAGATTCAGAAGAACCTCTGGTTGAGAGTCAAGGTCAAAGTGTAAAAGATATTTAATTCTCTGTTCCTAATTCATCTTCAACTTGATCTCTGTTGCCTTTCCTGCAAAATTCCATGTGGGTGCCAAACTTCTCAAAGTCTCCAATTCATAGTTGATGCTGATAACTCCCTGGCCCTGTGAATTCTATTCCTTCTACCTGAAATGCATGTCAGCCTTGGCAAATTCAAGGAATTCAAGATTCAGTTAAAATCCATTTCTCTGGAAACTTTCCTTGACTTCGCTAAATAAAGTGAATGGCATGTTTTATAAGTGGCTATTACCTCCTGAATATAGCTATATTACATTGCAATCACCTTTTTATATACGAATTCTCCTCTAGAAGGTGAGTTTTCCTAAGGTGAGGTAGAAGACTAACCCTCTTATATTCTTGTACTTAATAATCAATATTACATGTCTATTCCCAACAGGAAGGAAGGAAAGAAGGAAGGGAGGAAAGGAGAGAGGAAGAAAGAAACAAAGAAAGACAAAGACAGGCAAGGATCAAATAAAAGAGTTAAAAAACTGTCATTAAAAAAAAAGAAGCAGATTAAGAAAACAGGTAATTCCTGACCTATCTGACTAATATTGGGCATCATTTGAACCAGGCAATCTTGATACCTTCCACATATAACATACTCAACAACTAGTGCTTCAGAGCTCAGGCCATGGTACACTAATGATTCATGTAAGGTCTGGTAAATTTCTAGGTTATCACTCTATCAAATAGACGATGCTTGCCATCAAGGAATAGCAGCGTTACTCAAGAGAACTGAATTGCTAAATTGTCTTGGGTTGGAACTAAAGAAACACATATTTTCTCTTTCAGAATCTTAATTCTCATTATCATCTTCTTCTATCCTGCATTAATTATGGTCATAATCAAATTAAAGCCATATTTTACCAGGCATGTTGTTTTGAAAGAAAGATATTCCCTATGCCTTGAAAGTTTCCTTTAAGAGAAATGTTTGTACACAAAGCAGATTATCTCAAAAGAAAAAAATAATTGCCTTATGGCAGTAATTATGCCATGGTTATAATAAATTCAGCTTATATTGTCTCTGTGGGAAATGAAGTTGTATAAACATTGTCTCTTTGTACACTTAGCTCCTAAAATCTGATTTACATTAGTTATAATATACCTCTTATCAATAGCATTTTATGTATTGACATGGCTATTTTCTTTCATTCTTCTGGAACTGAATTCCTGACTTGAGGCCTTTCCAATGTAAGATTAAGTGCTATGCATAAATGTAAAACTAGTTGTTTTTGGGGGGGAGATTTCAAGGGAAAGTCTGTGATAATAAAGTCTGCCATATCAGAAACTTTAATTCCTCAAGGAAGTGTAAGCATTGAGCTACTTCTTACAGTTATGCACTTACCCATTTCTATTCAGAGGGCTGACTAAAATCATTCACAACAGGACTTAGCTATATTGAAGTTATGATTTAACTAAAAACAACACAGAACATGTCCATGTGGTTGACTATATTATACCTCTAGGGCAGATTCTTTTTGGTGGAGATTTGAATAAAAATTTTTCCAATCTTCTTTTGCAGTTGCAACTTTGGCCTGTAAACCTTTAGCTTTCTCTTCAGTCAGCAAAGTACTCAGAAGTTCTCCTTTAGACAGCATCATATTAAGCTTGTGCTGTCCATTTTCACTTTCTGACAAAAACTCCTGTAAAGAAAAATATATTAGGTATAAAATGTTGTACGCTTTATAATAATTCATTTCTCTCTATGTTTCTCAATGCAATGAGAAAGAAGAAATATTTTATTGTATATATTAGGGGATCCAGGGCTTCCTTTAATAGTTGGGTTGCAAATTCCTTTATTTAGAAATCTAAATTTCAATTTGATCCCAAAACGTTGTGAGCTATCTTATAACACAATAACAATTAGGTAAAAATACATAAGAAAGGAAGTGAGTGCCAAGGGAAAATAAAAATTGTAAAATCAAACAACTCTGGCCAAGATTAGTATACAAAATAAATACCATATGGTTTGTATAAATAGTTGAGTTGGATTATGACATTGGCTCTAAGGATCCTAGTTGCAAAAGAAAAAAGGTAAATACAACCAGGAACATGATTCACAGAGCTCAGATGACTAAAACTAAACTGCTCAATGGAAGCATGATTTTTTTCTAGAAGGAAACAAGAGACAGTTTCCTGGAGAGTCTTAATAAGTAAATGCTATTAAGTGGAATAGATTGTATCATTATTATTAGTTGATCTAAAAATAACAGAGAATTTCACAGAGTTGTCCTAATGAAGGACAAGTCAACAACATACTACCAAAGTATAAGTCAACAAATTGTCACCACAGTATGTACTTTTCCCATCACTTGGCTCCATTCAAGGATATAGCCTCCTTCTAGAAAAAAGATGGATTCCGTCTGTATTCTACAGTCAACTTCCATTAATATTTTCAAGTGTTAGAAACAAGCATATAAATCACAAGCCTACAATTATTTATTCTGGCAGGAAACAGAAGTATAGATATTCTATGCTATGGATTTTGGTCAAAGGAGTCTCACCAAGGCATCTGTCTTAATGACAGCTACTTCTGTAAACGGAACTGTACTGCAGAGGAAGGGTCAGAGAAAAGGCCCAAGGCTGTCCTCAAAAACAGTACTGAACTGAGGATTGCAAACTGAGGAGCCTGGTATGCTGACTTCTCGGGACAACCACTGGGCTTCGGGCACCCTCCCACTTAACCTGTGCTGCTGCCCTGGGCCGTCACCTTCCAAGAAAAGTCATGAGACCATGTTGAATATAGAGAAACATTTATTTAACTTGAAGTTCTCTGTGAAAGAACCTAATAGGAATGCCAAAAAATGCACTAAAAAAGAAAAGGCTAAGAAGGCCAACATTAGTAAGGACATTCAGAAAGGCAATATGGAGGTTGCACTAATTCATGTTGAAAATGCAATCTGCCAGAAAAACCAAGCAGTCATTTCCTTGAGAATGAGTGCTTAGGTGGATGCAGTGGTGGCTAGAGTTCAAACTGCAATAACCATGGGCAAGGTAACAACGTTCATGGCAGGTGTAGGTAAGCCTATGGATGCTGCATTAGGGAGTATGAGCCTGGAAAAGATTTCTGCCTTGACGGACAAGTTTCCAATTGGAAACACTGGATGTTCCAGCACAATAGATGGAAGACACAATGAGCAGCACTACACCCCTAATACCACCACAAAACCAAGTGGATATGCTGCTTCGAGAAATGGCAGATGAAACTGGCCTTGGTCTCAATCTGGGATTACCAGAGGGTCAAACAGGATCTGTTGGCACAAACGTTGCTTCAACAGAACAGGACAGACTATCACAGGGACTTGCTCATCTTCATGATCAAGTGCAATTCAAAGACCTGGTGCTTCTGTTTGCTTCACTTGTATATGATACTTTTTTTTTTTTTTGCTTGTTTGTTTGAGAGACTTTTGCTATAGGGTACATACGTTCGCTGGGGAGACAGAGAGAAAGCAAGAAATCACCCCCAAAGGGGAATGGCCATGCTGCAATCCCTCCTTCTCCATTCTCCTCTTAGGCTTTTGGGAATGCACGCACACATGCCTAGCCTGAGTTTTAAGTTGTCGGGTCTGGGACTTGAACCATGGTCTACTACATGGGAGTCCAGTGACGTAATCATTACACCATCTTCTGGTCCTTTGAAACATTCTTTGTGTGTACATATAGATAAGGCACACTCCATTTAATGGTTAAAAAAAAAAAAAAACTATATATGACAGAATGCCTAAACATTATTTGTATCTAGTACTTTTTTTTCCTCTCTAATAAATTAAGAAATTCCAAGAAATTTCCACCTATACAGACTTTATAGTTCTGTATATTATGTGTAAAAGTGTGAGGGACATATTTTTGTACATGTTTTGACAGAGCTAGAGCTAGCATCTTTATTAAACATCTTCCTCAGAAGTGGATCAAATATTTATCACCAAAGTATACAAAAAATAAAAAGACTGAATTTCTTCAACACAAATGGGTGACTGAGTTCCAAAGTTCTATATCTTAGACTGGAGAAAAATTAGACAATTTTTAAATGGAGCAAATTTTCAAAACAAGAGTTATCCCATTATAAGTTATGAATCAAGAATGTAAAAGAGCAAAATAGATACAGACAGTACTAGGTTCAGAACTTTCTCCTAGTATAGAAATGGCAAGCATACGCACTTACACATAGTTTACTATATGTGTGTGTGTTTGTGTGCATGTGTATGTGTGTATGTGTGTTTTTATATGGACATATATGCTCTCTGAATAAATTCAGATTTTATAACTTATCACTCAGGACATCCAGTATACAAGATAATCAGACATACATAGAATGAAAGATGATTTCAACAACTTTGCCTAATCCCAGTCTGGGCCAGCTGGTGGTGTGGTGGCTAAGGTGGCCGGATCCCACTTGGCTGACCTCACTGTTCAGGTTCTGGATCCAGAGGCTTGCTTAGTGTATGTGCATTCATGACCAAAATTCCAAGAAAAGAATGGAGGAGAAGAGATTGTAGCATTGGTGCTATCTTGAAATTCTCTCTCCCTGTCTCTCTCCTTCCCCTTGTCTCTCTCCTCTATGTCTCTCTCTCTCTCTCTCAGACACACACACACACACACACACACACAGCAAATTTTAAAAAATTTGAACACCATTTGAAACACTGGATGTTCAAATACAAATGGAAGACACAATAAGTGTCTTCAAATGAAAAATAAAAATGTGGGTCTGATGGCATGTGGAAAGGCACCACAAAGTTGTAGTTAGGTAGGAGTAAATTAGGGAAAAACTTCAAACAGATAAACATAAAAGCTTCCTGCAGCTGTTTTATATACAGCTCTGTGACTTCACTAAGATTCTATATTTTTATTTTTATTTTTTTATTTTGCTATAGGGTGCTTGCCAGAAAGACAGAGAGAGACAGAGAGACAGAAAGCAAGAAATCACCCCCCCCACCCCAGGGGGATGGCCACGCCGCAATCCCTTCTCCTCCATTCTCCTCTCGGGATCTTGGGCACACACACACATGTGCCTGGTGTGAGTTTAAGCCACCAGGTCCGGAACTCGAACTGCGGTCGACTACACGGGAGTTCAGCGACATAGCCATTATGCTAACTGCTGGTCCCACCTCATTAAGATTCTTTAATCTTATCTGTACTTTGGAAATTATCATCTTCTGTACTTGATGTGCTTATTGTAGAGATGAAATGAGAAAATCTACTTACAGTGCTCAGGCATAATGATTGTCACATAAATTAATTTATTAATTATTTATTAATTCCTAATCCCTATGAATATATAAAAGTTGCATGCATTTATCAAAATGGACTAGTTTCATGGTACATAATCATTTTAATGTATCATCGGATATAATTTTGTTGAGAATTTTTTTGTCTTGTTGAGAATTTTTGCATCTATATTCAGCAGTGATATTGGTCAGTAATTTCCTTTCTCTGTTATGTCCTTGTCTGTTTTAGGGATGAGCATGATGGAGGCTTCATAAAATGAAATTTGGGAGGGTTCCTTCCTTTTGGATATTTAACAATCATTTAAGTAGAATGGGAGTTAGCTCTTTTTGAAAAGTTTTGTAGAATTTAGGAGTGAGACCGTCGAAACCTGGGCTTTTCTTTGTTGGGAGGTTATTTATCAGTGATTGAATTTAATCACTCATTACTGGTTTATTTAGACTTTCTGTCTTTCTGATTCAGTTGCTGTATGTTCTCACTTAATATGTACTGAATGGATGCTGTGGCAGAAACTGAAAGACTGCAAGATATAAAAGCATGATGAACAATTGCAGATTCTAGAAACAGTGTGAAAGGAGAGTGGGAAATGGAGGGTGTGAGGAATAGAATTTAAGAGAAAAATAAAGCAAAACATTTAAAAGATAGGATGATGAAAAATGATCTATTGATACTAATGTGTATGATAATATCTTTAACTGGACTAATATACTGTGTATTCATGCTGGGAAAATTCATTTACGACCTGTAAAATATACAGATTGAATATATGAAATACAATTTTTTTACTATATGTATAAAAAATAATCATAAGTAAATAAAATAAAAATGGACTAGTTTCTCTGCAGGTACTAGAAAAGCAATCTGACATTTAGTTTTTAAATTTTTGATATATAATGTACTTATAAAATTCTAAAGCAGCCTTATAATCCACTTCAGCATCATTATTAGAATGAATTAATATCCTTACCTGTATTTTCTGAAGACTTGCTGAAACATCATTGAGATTTTGAGGTATATCAAAACATTTGGCAGTTGTGATTTTTGCATTAACCAACCACTGCTGGAAATCTCTGAAGGCTTTTCGAAATCTTTGCTGTAAAATCTGTTCTTTATTCTGGCAGCCCTTGGATGCTTGCAAACAAAGACTGAAAAGGTGATTTGAAATTTTAATGGAAGGAAGAAATGATAAAATTGATTAGAATAATGTTTAATAGAATCAGCAGTTCTTGGAATATGCTTGTTTAGTAATACAGAAAATGCTTTCTTAATTAATATTATTTTTGAAATCACACCTTACAATGAACAGCTTCTAATTTGTATAAAAATATCTTGAACACCAATAAGGTTCTTGCTCACCAGTTATATTCTTTAATCAAGCCAGAAACTTTTCCACTGTATGCACTTAGATCTCTGGAAAATCGACACAGTTCATTTAGCTGAGATTTGAGATCCTCTGTCCTTGGTTCTTCTTTTTGTAGAGCATCCAGTATTTTCTGGGAAAAAAAATAAGAGAAATAAGCATTTAAATTGGGTAATTTCTCTATCCTCATGTTATACCTGCATAAATCCTAGTATAAATGATTAGTGAGGGAGAAACCCACACAATAGATTTAGTAAAGAAACGAGGCCTATGTTCAGGATTCCCCATGGCAAATAATAGCACTTGGCTAATGTGTATCATTTTCTATCCTTGACAGACACTCTGGCATCAAATGCTGTGAAGTAGTCAAAGGATTAAGTGGTCAAATGACTTAAAGTAGGACAAGCCAAAGAAAAGAAAAAGTACATTGTTTAGAAGCAATTTGACTAGGTAACTGTGAGATATATATTATTGTTTAAAGGTAATAAGAAATCATTTCAAAGAAAAGAAACACTTATTTTGGATTTAAAATATATTTACAGAAACTGAATTCATGTAGGAAGTACAGTTACTTTTTTTTTTTTACTTTTGAGAGATTTTTGCTATAGGGCGAGTGTACTCACCAGAAAGACAAAGAGAGACAGAGAGACAGAAAGCGAGAAATCACCCCCCAAGGGGGATGGCCATGCCACAATTCGTTCTCTTTCTTTCTACTCTCGAGATCTTGGGCACGCATGTACATGCACACAGCATGAGTTTAAGCCACCGGACCTGAGACTCAAACCACAGTTGGCTACATGGGAGTCCATCAACATAGCCATTATGCCAACTGCTGGTCCCAAGTACACTCACTTTTTTATATTAAGAATTTCTTACTATACACTAGTAATTCACTTGTTTCACAGTTTTATTGGCATAGTCATCAAATTTGCTCAATATCTGCTCTGTGCCAAAAATTTTGCTGCATCCTGGGACCTCTCTCTAATGAATAAAGAGATGATTCTTGTTCTTAAAGAACTCACAACGTAGGAGATGAGAGAGACACATGAATAATCACAGTAGTGATATACTTAATCCAAAATAAGGTTTTAGGGCTTGACAAACACACCTCTGAAATCAAACTCCTAGTCAACTGAATTATACAAAGTGCCTTTTGATCACATAGTTCCTTTTATACTGTTGTCACAAGGAATGGGGGAGATTATGAGTGTTAAATATATAGCACAAATCTGGCATACTGATAAGTGACAATACATTTTGCCAGAAAATAACAACTGAATATTTAAATGGCACTGTGTGACAGTGATACTGCCAAAACAAACAAACAAATAAAAAGATAAATTGAGGAGGAGCAAAAAGATGAGTAAGTACTCAACTAGCTATTGCTAGCTTTCAGAGATAGTCATCAAGAGATGGCCCAGATTTGGAGGGAAACCACATCCCTTGACAAGCCAGGTGTTGCATTCCTTGCCCTGGTAACTGCCACTACTGTCCTGCTGATGTCAATCAGAAGCCCGAGTATCATTCTGGCCTCTCCTATCTGGTTCCTTTCTCACTCTAGGCAAAAGATACCTAGGCCAATCTGTTCTGGGTCATAGCTTTTTTTTTCTTTTGCATTTAAGTTTATTTATTTCTTCCATGAGTGAGATAGACAGAGACAGAGCTAACACACCTATCCTCAATAGAATTTCAACACTGCAATCCAACTGCACCCATAGCCAGCTCTGTATCAGGGGCAAGTATGTGCCCAGAATACTCAGGGAGAGTCTCTGGGTTTGAACTGGGAAACTTCTCATGTGGGACTGCCTCCCAGAGCTTTCCATGTTTACTGCTATAACCTTATCTGGCCTCTGAGCCAGCTCTTTCAATCACTTATCTCTTTGTCTCTACATATTGATTCTCACAACCCCCATTAGCATTTTCGTTATTTCTTTCTGGAATGACAAAATGCTCTCCTACTTTGACTCTTGTTCTCTAGTTTCCTCTCCTATGTGTTTTCATTCCTCAGTGATTTAGCATTTTGGTGCTATTCCTCCACCTCATCGTTTTTGGTCAAGTTGTTCTTGTACCTGAAAACTCAGCTCAAATAATGATTCCTTTGAAGACTCTCTATGGTCCTTTCCACTCTTAGGGCTTCTCATCTAGGGTGAGAAGAGATCGCTGGGTGTTCAGAGTGATGAGTATACCGACTGTTTCGTCCCTGTCTGCTTTTCCAGCAGGACTGTGACTATGAGAGCAGGATGGTGTACTCTTGGTTAGGCAATTCTTTATTTATCTCAGTGTCTGAGCTAGGGGAGTCCAAAACATTTTTATTTACAAAATTCATAAATAATAACTAGAGAATTTCTTCTTGCAACTTCCAATACTAGATGAGGAACAACTATTTTAGACCATATTGAACCTTTTATTTAAAAGAGAACATTGTGGGACCAGTAGACGGCATAATGGTTATGTAGCTGGACTCCCAAGTAATTGACCGAGGTTTGAGTCCCAGATCTGGTGACTTAAAACTCACACCAGGCATGTATGTGTGCATGCCCAGAATTCTGAGAGGAGAATGTATTGCAGCATGGTCATCTTCCCAGGGGGTGATATCTTGCTTTCTGTTTCTCTGTCTCCTCTGTCTCTCCAGCAAGTGCACATGCCCTATCACAAAAATCTCTCTTAAAGAGAGAGAGAAAGAGAGAGAGTGAGAGAACATTCTAAGAACTAAGCAAAGTAATTACATATCAAAAAGGTAAGAGTTCTGAGATTCAGGTCAGTCATTTGCAAATTAGGTGACATAAAAAAATAAAAAGCCAAAAAGCCTTTGGGCCAGCAGGTGGTGTAGTGGTTATGGTACTGGATTCCCGTATAGCCAACTAGAGTTCGAGTACTGGACCTGGTGGCTTGAAAATTGCACTAGGTCATGTGTGTTCATGTCGAAAATCTCAGGAATAGAATGGTGGTAAAGGGGTTGCGGCATGGGCATTTTCCCCGGAGGTGATTTCTTACTTTCTCTCTCACTGTTTCTTTCTGTCTCTCTCTGGTGAGTGCATGCACTCTATGGCAAAAATCTATAAAATAAATAAATAAATAAATAAATAAATAAATAAATAAATAAAGCCTTTGTCCCAAACTTTACATTTAAAAAATTTCCATGGCTTCATACTAATAAAAGCATTTCAATAGAATCTTTCATCACATAAATACCAAGTTATATACTTCTAGTTCAGTCCTGGAATGTTTCCCCCTAGAGGTTATACAGCTAAAGGAAATTTCAATATTTCCAACATTAATAACCCAATGGATATTAAGATAAATGGATTGGGTAAACACAAAGAATAGGATTTTCTTTGCAGTGCATAATATACTTTATGGATCATGCATTTTTAAGTGCTAGAGAAATTCTTCAATATCATCATTTAATTGCAAAAAATTAACATTTTGAAGATTTATGATTATCACCATGATTGTCAACAATGACAAGGCAAAACACTGCCATACTCACTCTAGCAATTTTACTACTTTGTCAATACCTTCCTACATATTTCTTATAATTGAAATGTCATATTTTCTCCACTTTTTCATTAGAAAGAAAAGAATAAATGGATATTCAGAGGCAATTTAGTATTGTTATCAAAAGCATTGGCCCAGCCTGGCCTATGGCCTAGGTGTTAAGGTCACTGTAGCCCACTCAAATCACTGTGTGGTTTGAGTCCTGGACCAGTGACTTGAAATTCATGCCAAGTGTATGCGTGTGTGTGTGTGTGTGTGTGTGTGTGTGTGTGCAAAATGTACTCAAAGGAGGGAGAAATAGAAGGAATGGGACTACTGTGCCATTTCCCATATGGATTACTTTCTTTTTCTCTCTGTTTCTCCCTGGCAAGTGCATGTGTCCCCTGGCAAAATGAATAAATAAATTAAATTAATGAAATAAAAGTATTGGTCCCGAGACAAATTTGGAAGTGGACCTAAACATAGGGCTGTCAGCTTTGAATTGTTGGTACAACTAAAAAGCTATATTTACTACTGCATTGTTGTATGTATTTTTACATATCTCATTTATAATTTTCACTAATAGCATCAATGTAAAAAGTAACAGTAACTGAGAATAGCTATATAATCTTCTTGGTCTAACCAAATCTTTCTTGTGTCAAATGATTACTGATATTAATAGAATGAAAAAAGGAGGAAACTAAAGCAACCAAAAGGGCATAAGTGATTTTTTTTCATATCAGACTTCATAGAGCAATTACCAAACTTCTTTGTCCCTTTTATTTACAGAAATGACTTTTATGTTTTATTCCTGTCTGTAAAGCTAAAGGACAGAAAATATACCAGACAAACAAAAGACATTGTAAATAAAATAGCATAAAGAGATAGATACTTGTAAAGTTCTATTTTATGCTGTGTTCTGTATCAAATACTTCATTTAAAACAAGAGAATGTTATAAATACTAGACGGCCTTCTTACTGGCCAGAGCCAGTTTGCAATGATTATAACATAAATAGAAGCAGAGAAGTTTACTAAACTTCCTTTTAAGGATATCCATGATTCAGAGCATTATAAAACTGCAAATATCAAATCTGCTTTCAAAAGATATTATTCAACAGTAAAAGAAAAAAAGAGAATTTAAGTGCTGTGCATTCTCCATTATCTCTTTTATGTTTCCCTTTCTCACATTCTGAACATGCTGCCATTAGTTA